GCGGTGCAGACTGAAGACATAGCCATCCGTCCGATCATGGTTGATCTTGCTTAGGGCCAAATGAGCAGCGGCCACAGTGTAATGTGGAATGTTCGCTACTTTAGCTCCGCAGTTAGCCGCCTTATCTGACTGTGCGAGAGGCAAGTGCGTCGTCACCGGCAAAAGGTCAAAGGTAACAATGTGACCGGAGGGCTTATTGTATTGTTTTTGTTGCCAAAAAAAAAGATAATAATAATAATTTCAGTACATGTGTCAAATAAAAAAATAAATAAAAATAAAAAATAAAAATAAAAAAAAGGACCAAAAGGGCACATTGGGATCATGGAGCAAAAGGGGCAGGTGCTCAAGCCCCCTTAGCCCCCCTCTCTGCACGTGCCTGCTCTTAACTCAAACTGGGTAAAGCCATATAAAAAAGGACTATAAAACAGGAGTAAAAAAGTAACAGAGTTTATTCCAGATCAGGTCGTTACAGGACAGAGAAAGATGCTTAGAGCTTGCACAGCTGTGGGCTCAAAAATCACGTCCGCGAGCGTCCAGCAAAGATTGAACCCCGAACAAGGTCATCTCCTGCTTCTTATAGCTCATGAGTCTATGTGTTGCATCAGGTGGATGCTTAGCTGTCCATATCAGAAACTGACACGCCATCAATGCCCTGACCTATATGCAGCTTGCTTCTATGCCTCAGGGTTACAGATAGCTCTCCTCTATCAGACCGACTCCAAGATATTCCCATATCCTGTGTATTTCTAAAGACACGAAGGCTGCCCTGATTAGATGACCTCCGTACACACAGTGACATCCACACTGTGAAGGAAGGCCTTCTACTCTCTCTAATCTGGCTAATAAAGTAACAATGCACATGATCTATAAATGATAAACCTAACAAAATCAAAGCTTCCCCATCAACTTCTTAAGACATACTAAAATATTTCTCCAATTCCTATAATTCCTATTAACCTGTAATATAGTACATAGTGATCTCTTCTCTCAGCAGAGTTAATAAAGCTAAGACAAGAAATGTGTTTTGTTCTCCCAACCATGATGAGAGCACATTAATCAGAGCAGCATTCATTAAATGAATGCACCTGCACAAGCAGTATTAACTCCTAATTTGAAATACAATACATGATGTTTAGTAACTGTCTAAAGATAACTGTAGGGCTTATCTATCACATGAAAGGGCAAAGGTGCAAATATATGATAATAAATCCAAATATGAAATGTATGTGTGCTGAATGAATTAATACATGACATTATTTCAGACAAATTAGTAAAAATTATAAATTTATCACATAAAAACATCATGTATAAATATCAAATATATTGCATTCTATGTATATATAAAGTCCTTAACAGATCTTATATCTTGTATCAGCTGTTCTATGACATCATCTCTGCTCTCACTCTGTGCAGCTCCTCAGCCAATCGGAGTGATGTATCCGTATCTCACATCAGGTCGTGTACGTATCACCCCTCAGCCCTGCTGTAAGAATCTGTCAAAGTTACTGACATAGTTATTATGATGAGCTGTTACGCCCAGCAGTGGAAAAGCATTGCTGGAAAGTAGCTTCCAGGTCACCTGACCCATGAACTCAAATTCTGTCTGACATTGTTTTACTAGATCAGTAGGATGAGGCAAGCTCATTTGTATTTCATTTTAATTATTTCTATATTATTTACAATTTAAAAACATTTTTTTTTGTTTTTCTTCAATAGTTTCCATGTGACCCATTGACTCAAAATCTGTCTTAAAATGATCTACTACATGAGACAAATGAGACAAACTTATTTTTATTAATTTTTTAGTCACTTTAAATTTTTTTTTAATATTTTATATTAAAATTGAGTGTTTTTCTTCAATAGCTTCCAGGTCATGTGAACATTTACTCAAATTCTGACGTTGTTTTACTACATGGGACAGATGAGGCAGACTTATTTTGATTTATTTGAAGTATTTTGATATTTTATGGAATTTTTTTTAAATAAAAATTTTGTGATTTTCTGCAATTGCTTCCAGGTTATGCGTCAAATTGAACCAGAATTTGTCTAAAATGTTTCTACAGGATGGGTAATATGAGACGCACTCATCTTTATTTCCTTTCTATATTTTTTTAGGATTTTATTTATTCAAAATTTTGTGTTTTTCTTCAATAGCTTCAAGGTCATGTGACCCATTTTATCAAAATTAGTCTAATATTGTTTTACCAGATAAGTAGGATGAGGCACACTCATTTTATTTAAGTGTTTTGATATATTATGGGATTTTTAAATACAAATTTTTCTGTTTTGCTGCAGCTTCCAGGTTATGCGTCATATTGACTCAAGATTTGTCTGAAATGTTTCTACAGGATGGGTAATATGAGACACACTCATCTTTGTTTCCTTTTTATATTTTTTAGGATTTTATTTATTCAAAATTGAGTGTTTTCTTCAAAAGCTTCCAGGTCATGTGAACATTTACTGAAATTCTGACGTTGTTTTACTACATGGGACCGATGAGGCAGACTTATTTTAATTTATTTGAAGTATTTTGATATTTTATGGGATTTTTTAAAATAAAAATTTTGTGTTTTTCTGCAATTGTTTCCAGGTTATGTCATATTGACTTAAAACTTGTCAGAATTTTTCTACAGGATGGGTAATATGAGATGCACTCATCCTTATTTCCTTTTTATATTTTTTTAGGATTTTATTTATTCAAAATTTTGTGTTTTTCTTCAATAGCTTCCAGGTTATGTGACCGATTTTCCCAAAATTTGTCTAATATTGTTATACAAGATAAGTTGGATGAGGCATACTCATTTTATTTAAGTGTTTTGATATATTATGGGATTTTTTAAATACAAATTTAGTGTTTTGCTGCAGTAGCTTCCAGGTTATGTGTCATATTGACTCAAGATTTGTCTGAAATGTTTCTACAGGATGGGTAAAATGAGACGCACTCATCTTTGTTTCCTTTTTATATTTTTATGATTTTATTTATTCAAAATTTAGTGTTTTGCTGCAGTAGCTTCCAAGTTATGCGTCATATTGACTCAAGATTTGTCTGAAATGTTTCTACAGGACGGGTAAAATGAGACGCACTCATCTTTATTTCCTTTGTATATTTTCTAGGATTTTATTTATTCAAAATTGAGTGTTTTCTTCAAAAGCTTCCAGGTCATGTGAACATTTACTGAAATTCTGATGTTGTTTTATTACATTGGACAGAGGAGGCAGACTTATTTTAATTTATTTGAAATATTTTGATATTTTATGGAAATTTTTTTAAAATACAAATTTTGTGTTTTTCTGCAATTGTTTCCAGGTTATGTCATATTGACTTAAAACTTGTCAGAATGTTTCTACAGGATGGGTAATATGAGACGCACTCATCCTTATTTCCTTTTTATATTTTTTTAGGATTTTATTTATTCAAAATTTTGTGTTTTTCTTCAAAAGCTTCCAGGTTATGTGACCGATTTTCTAAAAATGTGTCTAATATTGTTTTACCAGATGAGGCACACTCATTTAAATGAAGTGTTTTGATATATTATGGGATTTTTTAAATACAAATTTAGTGTTTTTCTGCAGTAGCTTCCAGGTTATGCGTCATATTGACTCAAGATTTGTCTGAAATTTTTCTACAGGATGGGTAATATGAGACACACTCATCTTTATTTCCTTTTTATATTTTTTTAGGTGTTTATTTATTCAAAATTTAGTGTTTTCTTCAATAGCTTCTAGCTATTTTCCCAAAATTTGTCTAATATTGTTTTACCAGATAAGTAGGATGAGGCACACTCATTTTATTTAAAAGTTTTGCTATATTATGGGATTTTTTTAAATACAAATTTTGTGTTTTGCTGCAGTAGCTTCCAGGTTATGCGTCATATTGACTAAAAATATTTCTACAGGATGGGTAATATGAGACACACTCATCTTTATTTCCTTTTATAATCTTTTACTATTTTATTTATTCAAAATCTAGTTTTTCTTTATAGCTTCGAGGTCATGTGACCCATTGTCTCAAAATCTGTCTGAAATTAGTCTACTAGATGGGGCTAATGAAGCACACACATTTATATTTCATTTTAAATATGGGGGGATATTTTTTAAATTCAAAATTAATTTGGTGTTTTTCAATAGCCTCCAGGTCATGTGACCCCTTTACTTTAAATCTGTCTGAAATTCTTCTACTAGATTGTAGATATGAGGCATACTAATATTTATTTCATTTTAAGACTTTATATTTTATAGGATTTTATTCAGGTCAAGTGACCCACTGACCCAACAATCTTATTTCCTCATTATTTCAGGATTCCCCTCCCTCTTCATTTCTGTTTTTGAGAGGGACGCCATTATTTTAAGGACCTTTTGGACGTGTGAAGGACTGAAAGTATAAAACCTTTAAATTGTCATTACTCATTGTTTGTTTTAAGCTATCCTTCTCTGACTGTTAACATCTTTTTGTTTTGAATTTTAATATATATTCAAAACCTTATATTTGGTGTTGGTCTTCACTCAACTCCTAGGCTCCATTATGAACCAATCCTCTGATGCTACTAACTGTAAACATTGTGAACTTAACCAATAGATACATAAAGCTTTATTCTGCTTTTCCGGACTTTTTTTAAACACCATTGTCTGACCCAGCATATATTAAGACACGTATGACTGATTTAAACTGTCAGAAAATGTGTTTTTTTGTTGCTGGAAGTCATGTAAATATACTGGTGTGATACCTTAGTGTACATTTAATTGGTTTTTGGTATATGTCTATTTTGAAGTTATAGCCCCTCCAGGAGAAAACTCCACCGGCCGCCACTGGTTAATAGCGCTGGAGGTAGGTGCTGTTGAACATGATTTGTGGAAAATGACTCAGATATATCAGACAGCGCCACCAGCTGGTGGTGTCTGATGGGGTTGGTTGGCATGGAGGCATTTAAAAACATAAACAACAACAAAGAAAGCCGAATAAAACTCAGACATAACAGACAGGTGTCTCTGCTGCATCTAAATATGTTTATAATGTTTTAGAAATGCTTTATTTGTGTTCAGAAACAAGCATTTTCATTAAATAAGATTAAATCAAAGTCTATCAGTCGGATAATCGTGAACCGTACACCAACGCTGTACAAAAAGGACATGTTACATAAAATAAGGCATTTGCTCAAGAGTAAGTGTGTAATGTAGTCATTTATGAAAAAGATTAGAAAAATACAAAGACGGCGGCAACAGTCAGAGAAAAGTCTGAAGAAAAAAAAAACAACACTTTGAGCAAACGCACAAAAAAATATTTCTGACCAAGTAAAAACACAGTGAAACCTTCATGTACAGAGTTTACAGAAAACTTGAAACTATTACATCTGCAGCACCATTTTCAAAGCTTTATAACACCATTTTTCTGTACTAATGCTTTAGGATTTATTGACATATGTTTACAAAGTAATACAAATTGGGAAAACTACATTTCCCATCAGCCCCCTTCTCCCCAAAGAGGGAATGAGAGTTGCAGGAAGCCAGCACCAGAGTTCAAGTATGAGAGCAGGATCTTTACACAGGACGTAAAAGCAGCACAAATTACTAAAACGTTTTAGTTTGTTACTTCTAAAAGAATCACAGGAAAAATAAAACAACATTAATGCCCTTAAGTGAGATCAAAGATGTGTGAAATGTTCAGTGTTCTGGTAAAAGTGTCATGAGGTCACATGTTTAAGGCGATTTCCTGTAACCGGCGTGTAAGGAATTAGACGGTGCCTTTTTAGTTTCCGAAATAAAAAATAATACTGCAGTCCCACAGGTGAGCAGAGCGGGATCCGCCCACAGCGACAGAATCAGAGTTCAGTTGGTTCAGGTCTCAGGAAGACTCCACTGGAGCTGCAGAAAAAGAACAGCCGAGATAATCTATTATTAAAAAAACACTTTATGGGCATGACTTCACATGAACTGATCTTATCAATCCAGCTGATGAGTAAATGATGAACTGCGATTTTCTCTTCTGTGCACAGGACTTTTTTAATAACATGAAGGGCTAAATATTTTTTACAATATGCTGAATAGAAAAAAAAAAAAGGTTGACACCATATCTATAAAATCTATTGTGCCAATTGGATGAAATACGGACTGAAAAACATGTTCCTACACCTTATTAAACCTTTATGATAGAACAAGAGGAACCTACGGAAGAGGATTAGGGCCACTGAAAAAAAAGTAAATTTTTACATTTTATTTCAGTTTAAAATGGGAAAAAAACTCAGAATTCTGACTTTGATCTCAGAATTCTGACTTTTTTCTCATAATTCTGACTTTTTTCCTCAGAATTCTGACTTTACTCTCAGAATTCTGACCTTAATCTCAGAATTCTGATTTGAATCTCAGAATTCTGACTTTTTTCTCAGAATTCTGACAGCTAACAAACATGTTAGCATCAAGCCGTAGCCATGTCTGTTTTAGAGACTAGCTCTCTTGTTTTAATCACCTTCTGCTCCTCCATTAATGAGGCGACCCCACGGGCACGTAAAAAGTTGCCTAATTCTGTCATTTTCCACCAGTGTCACTGGCCCTCCCAAACAACTCACATCTTTGTCAGTGAAGCTGAGTGCTCCACATCTCTTCCTTCATGGTGCCCATCTACATTAAGATCCAACATTCTGAGATTAAAGTCAGAATTCTGAGAAAAAAAGTCATCATCCTGAGTTTTTTCCCATTTTAAACTTTAATCAAATTTAAGATCAGTTAAAAGTATAATGTTCTCGCCTCAAATTATCCTAAAACATACTTTTATCGAACGACAGTAACAGAAAAGAGAAGTTCTGACTTAATACTCGGAGCTCTGTGAGCGCTCCACTGGAAGCTGATGCCGCAGTGCATGCTGGGAGAGCTGTCGATCTAAAGAGCGGACAAGTCTGCTCTGATGCATGCTGGGTAAGGAGGGAGGGGTGAGAGCAACATTTGGGGACTTTGTCCATTCTTGGCCTGCTGTTCTTGTGAATTGGAACAGGGCTGAAGCTGAAGACGTCACACGAGCACATGAGAACGCACAAGTAGACATCAAGAAACGGCCTTTAGTGTTCAGGATGAAAACTATTATTAATGTTAGTCACATGTTAGTCATAATGATATGTGATAGTCTTAGATGTTTTTAGTCGATTAAAACTTGAAAAGGTTTTAGTTTTAATCTAGTATTATATTCCAAAAAAGTGAACCTTTACAATCTGGAATACCAACCAGATTATTTACCAGATGGACAGCTCTAGCCTAGATGCTACAACTGTTGTATAGAATGTTGCCATGCAGCTCATCATTGCTATTGGGCAGAAAATGTTCATTTATAGAATTCAAATAAACCTTTTTATGAAGGAATGCTCTACTTTATAAAATAAGTGTCTCACAAAAGTTTTGAAAATAGCAGATCTAGTTAAATCACCATAATGGTTAATATAGCAGACAGACAAGCTAACAAAATGTACAATAAAGAAACGGTTTTAGACATACAAGGGTTTATACCAGGTCACCCTGGTTAAATGATTAATGTTCATTATTGTATTTTTTTATTTTTAATTATTTTAAATATCTGGTTATGTCTTGGTTTGCATTTTTTCTCACTTTAACAACATGTCGGTCACCTTATGAGAATGTGACTCAGGCTGAGGTCTCTCAGGTGACAGAATGTAACTGTGACTTGTAAGATTTATACTTTGAAGTTGACAAAAATTAAAAAAATAAAATGGGAAAAAGAAGAACATAGCAGAAACGTTGTGCTGCTCCACCATGCAGCGTGACTAAATGGGTGCTGTTCAGGTGATAGCTGGAGTTTATTCCGTCTTTATATTTCCAAATAGAACCACATAAAGTTAATCTGTGTCATTCTCTCCATCAGTGTAAATAAACCAGACTGAACTCTGGATCCTTCATGTTTCTGCTCTAGCATGCCTCTTCTCTAGTTAGTACTTGTCTTGGAAAAACCAGTGAGGCTGCGCTTAGTGATCAAAATTTTAACTGGGAAGTCTGGAGATCTTCAGATTTTCCAAAATATTCATACTCAGCGATAAATCTACAGAATGTCTGGAATAAAATATGGAATCACCACTTACAAAAAAAAAAAAAAACATTCCTGAGTGAATAATTTACCATTCAAACATAAAATTTAAAAATCATGTCATGTATTCCAGCTCTGGTTGCTGTAGAGATCGTTGTTTTTTACCTTTTATTTCAACCTTCTCAGCACTGGCTCTGCTCCTCCATCTCCTTCTGGAATTTCTCCCTCCAGAGCTTCACCCTCTGCGCCTCCTCCCTCTCCTTCTCCTGCAGCAGCGATTGCAGGAAGGCGGCGCTCACCACATCCTCACGCTCACCCTCGCCCACCAGGTAGGTGTTTTTGAATCGGTTGTACAGCATGGCGGCCTTGTCCATGATGGCTTGGTTCGCCCGATAGTACCGCATCTAAAAACCAAAACAGCATCAGAACGGTTAGGCAAAGATATAAACAATGTTGGGCTGGGTTTTTCTGTGCATAAAATAGCCAATATTGTTCCTCTGTCAATCATCAATAATGCAGCATTAGGCGACATTCACCCTTTAGGGCTTTAATGCTCAATTCCAATTTTTTTGTGGCTACGTTCAAAACAGCAGCCTGATGAACCAAATCCGATTATTTTGACCATATGCCCCATGTATCTGATCTTTTCAAGGCAGTCTGAACAACACGGATCTGATTTTTTCCAATACCACCCAGGCCACTTGGCTATGTGGTCCTGATCCGATACAAATTTGACCCGTGTCTGAACGGCCAGGTCGCATTCATCCCACCTGAACGTCATTAATACTAAAAGGTCAATATGCTACGCAGAAGCAGGATGAAAAACAACAACCAAGGCGGACGATGATGGCTTTATTTTTAGATACTCTAGAAAAGATTGAGTTTTTAAGGTTGGGAAAGATCCCTAGATACTATTATTATTAAATTCATAGCAGCAAAACAAGCAGAAATTAACGCCTATTTAATATTACAAAAATCCTCATCAGCATCCAGCACATGTGCAGTTTCTGTCCAAATATTTTCTGTTTGTTGTGGATCTTTGTTACAGGGATAACTAGGATCATCCATGGTTTGTATGAACTATGTTTGTTCTCTATTTCCAAACTCAGCCTCTCTTCATCCATGCCTGCGATCATGAGTTTGTTATGAAGTTGTCAGATACGCTGTTTGAAGTTGTTGTGACTGTATTTGATTAAACTTTTAAGCCTCTCAGTATAAAATAAATATTTAGATCGAGATGAGAAATCTGATTCCTTGGTATGAGGAAGTACCAATAGTTTGCATCCAATTATATAATTAAACGCTCTTAGTTTTAGGGAATATATAAGAATTATGCTCTAATTTATAGTTTCTGATCTGTCGTTACTATATTTTAATTTAACGAACCGGATCTTCTCCACGTCTTTTTTCCTGTTTGGTGCGATTGCAATTACGGATCTTGACCTGGCCGGACCAAAGCGGATCAATAAATAGCTCGGCTCCGTATTTGGACGCTGACGGACGGAGAAGACGTACGTGGACGGCAGAGATGGGGACTCGAGTTTGTGACTCATACTCGAGTCGCACTTAAGTCGTATATTTAATGACTTCAGACTCGACTTAGACTCGTGATTTCTGACTTGTGAACAATATTTTATTTTTTCTAAGTGTTTTTTGTTTTACTAACTTGACTGATCGCCGCTCGCCTTACCCGCACACAGCAGAGGTAAAAAAAACAAAACAAAAAAACCCAGCAGAGTGGCTGTCAAACAGTCACGTAGCACTGACGTCACTGACGCAACGCTACGTGACATATATGCCCGTGCGCATGCATGCATGATCGACAAACCAAGCTTTAAAAACTTCATGGCAGTCGTAGAGGAGAAATATGTTGTGAATAATGTTGTGAATTGGCACTAAATAAATAAACTGAATTGACTTTAAAATACTGCCCGCCGAGTTGGTTCTGTCTGTTCCAGGGCATTAAGTTACAAAAAGTTATTACCACAATGTTTCTATGAAAGAATTGTTATTGTCCTGGTATTTATTCAGGGTTTTTCTTTATCTGTTGTAGTTGCTAACTTCATATGTATTAATAAAAGGCAGGATTGTGATTGTTTTTTTTCCACAGTCCTCATTTTCACTTAAAAATAAAAGAGCAGACATTTACTCCTAACACTAGAAAAAGTTGTAACCAGAAATGTCAGGTAAATACTGTAAGAAAATTGTTGTTTTTGAAAGAAAAAAATAAAGATGCAAAATTTAACTGGAAAAAAAATTGCGCGTGTGCTTTTTTTAATTGTATTTTTCATTTAGCAGTTCAAGATAATGATCATTCCATAGATATACTAGTGACCTTTAATCTATACCGTCTCAGTGATGGAGATGAAAACACAAGGAGAAACAAGCAAGCACGAAAATTATTACACTTTTTTAAATTAATCAAGTGATTGGAATTTATTGTGCGATTAATTGATAATTGCGACAGGCCTTCTCAAGACTTGAGACTTGACTTGGACTTAAAAAAAATGACTTGTGAACATGTCTGGTGGATGGTGACGTGCGGAGGAGTAGTGGTGGATGTGGAACAGCTCTCATTGATTAACATCACAGACAAGTACTCTGCACGACGTACGTGAGCGGAGCGCTGATGGAGGATGGGGAATCTGGGAGTAAAGCTGTATGAATGCAGTTGAGATCGCAAACTAGTTGCATATACTTAGAAAATTGAACAGCAAAGCAAAAGAAATCAGATTTCACAAAGAGGATCAATAAACCCAGAACCCTTAACTAGGGCTGGGCGATAATTCAATAACGATATATATCGATCGATAGACGTGTGGCGCAATAGAAAAAAAGAGGGTCGATAAAAGTTCGATAAAAAAGAAACGCAGTTTTCCATCCTTCTCATTGTAGCCTAGCATGTAGGTTTATGCTAGTCACTGCTTCCTCCCAACCAATCACAATCGCGGACCCAGGCACCGCGTCACCAAGCGCCGCCCTCTCAAAACTCAACACAGAGCACATGAAGCTGTGCAGCAAGGAGAGGCGGAGGAAATTGTTTCAAAGAAAGGTTTTGTAGTTCGGCAGTCTGGCAGTATTTCGGTCATGGCAAGTCGGACCAAAAACAAACCACAGTCATCTAGAAAATGTGTCGGGAACCAGTGAAAACCAGTCTGATAACGAAACCAACTTTCTTTTAATCATCTCAGCCGCTCACAGCCGCAGGACTACGAGCTGTGTAGGCCGCGGTGCGGCTCTCCTCCGAGGAATCTTCGGAAAATATATATATATTTTCAGTTCTGGGCAGTTTCCCACGTAGTTCTAACAATTGAGATAAAAATGCTGAGGGGCCAGAAACTTCAAAGTAATAACTCAGGTTAAAGCAGAAAACGGGGGCGGCGGTGGGGGGGCATTTATTTATTTGTTATATTTATTTTGGTCACTTTTCTGGTCACTTTAGTTTATTCTTTGTCAGTATTTAATAACATAACTCAGGTCTCTTAAAAAACATAACAAACCCTCCCCACCCCCCAACATAACTGAACAGAACCCAAAGCGGAATCTCCATACCTCCACCTTAAAGCTGGAACTACCCGCCCACCCTGTGGAGGACAAGTAACAAGCTTCCCCACCTTTACAACCGGGACAGCCACTCAACTCCACACAATTAGCTTATTAAAACAAACAAAAAAAAACGTTGAATTCTCACCCGATGGCAAAAATTTTCTCATTTTCAAAAAGTCTCAAATGTATCAACGAAAGGAAAGTTTGTCCACCTGCTTCATTTAGTCCCAGACTGCCAGTCCTCTATCTCCCGGCTCAGGAATTTTTCGGCTTCCACTGGAGTGTCGAACATAGCGGTGTTGTTATTCACGGTGACCATGAACTGCGCCGGGTATCGGAATCCATAACAAATCGTCTTGGATCTGCATTGCTCCTTGATAGCTTGGAACGCCTGACGTTTCTTCATTACAGCTGAGGTGAGGTCGGGAAAGATGAACACCGAGCGACCGTCGTATTGCAGCGGACTTTTCTCCCTCGCCAACCGCAGCATACGCTCTCTCTCTTGAAAATAATGCATCCTGACAATGATGGCTCTCGCCTTCCCGTCTTTGGCATGCGTTAGGCTCCGGTGTGCCCGATCCACTTCAATTGGACGATCAAAATTGTCCTCTCCCAGCAATTTGGGCAGCAGTTTACAGACAAACTCCGTGGGTCTACCATTCTCGGCTCTCTCCGGTATGCCTACAATGCGTATATTCTGCCGGCGTGAGCGCGCCTCCAGGTCCTCCAGCTTTGCTTGCTGTAGTGAGCATTGAGCTGCCAGACTGTCGTACCTTTTCTCTAGCTCCGAAATCCGTCTATCCTGTGACCCCACTGCGGCCTCGGTTGATGTCACACGGTCACAAAAATCCGAAAGTGCCGCTTTGAGACTGGAAATTGATCCGTTGAGCTCAGTAAACCTCGTGTCGACCGTGCTGCTAAGCTTACTTATAGCTGACAGAACGTCCTCATTGGTGGCCGATGGACCTGGAGAGCACATGGGGCTTGTGTTAGCCTTAGCCACTTCCAGGCTTGCTAGTTTGGTCCGGTCGTCCAAAGTTTCCTCCCCCGAGCCTTTGTCTTTCTTATTTAGTTTGGGCTTGGTCGTTCTGTTCATAGTGTGATGGCGCACTATGAATATGCTAGGCAGAAGTTTAAATATTATTATTTAGGGTGAGAAAGTAGTGGAGTTAAGTCGGAGCTCCCTCAAAACACGTCTACTCCATGTTGAGACCTAGGCCACCCCCATAACTCAGGTCTCTTAAGTTATTTTTCTTTAAAACAATTCTGTTATGGTTAAAAAAGTTGGTTAAATAAAGATTTAATTCGAAGTCGAAGTGTTTTTTATTAAAATTCAATCATTTAGCAATATTATAAAAAGTCCAGGCAGAGCTGCACATAAAATATGGTTTCAAATCGTTTCAATAATTATCGATATCGATCAATATGCATTTTTTTTTATCGATAAGCTTTTTTTCTATATCGCCCAGCCCTACCCTTAACACCCAGATTCTTACTGCAAGGTATCTAACTATGTTATGATATAGATAAATATCTAAGTTATTGACCTCATACAGGGTTTGTACAGGAATGAGGAACTCTAATTTAATGCTCTTTAATGCTCTTAGAAATAATTTTAATGCCATCAACAAGTATCATGTACACAAGTTAATAGTGTACATGAAGCAGGCAGGCAGGCAGGCAGGCAGGCAGGCAGGCAGGCAGGCAGGCAGGCAGGCAGGCAGGCAGGCAGGCAGGCAGGCAGGCAGGCAGGCAGGCAGGCAGGCAGGCAGGCAGGCAGGCAGGCAGGCAGGCAGGCAGGCAGGCAGGCAGGCAGGCAGGCAGGCAGGCAGGCAGGCAGGCAGGCAGGCAGGCAGGCAGGCAGGCAGGCAGGCAGGCAGGCAGGCAGGCAGGCAGGCAGGCAGGCAGGCAGGCAGGCAGGCAGGCAGGCAGGCAGGCAGGCAGGCAGGCAGGCAGGCAGGCAGGCAGGCAGGCAGGCAGGCAGGCAGGCAGGCAGGCAGGCAGGCAGGCAGGCAGGCAGGCAGGCAGGCAGGCAGGCAGGCAGGCAGGCAGGCAGGCAGGCAGGCAGGCAGGCAGGCAGGCAGGCAGGCAGGCAGGCAGGCAGGCAGGCAGGCAGGCAGGCAGGCAGGCAGGCAGGCAGGCAGGCAGGCAGGCAGGCAGGCAGGCAGGCAGGCAGGCAGGCAGGCAGGCAGGCAGGCAGGCAGGCAGGCAGGCAGGCAGGCAGGCAGGCAGGCAGGCAGGCAGGCAGGCAGGCAGGCAGGCAGGCAGGCAGGCAGGCAGGCAGGCAGGCAGGCAGGCAGGCAGGCAGGCAGGCAGGCAGGCAGGCAGGCAGGCAGGCAGGCAGGCAGGCAGGCAGGCAGGCAGGCAGGCAGGCAGGCAGGCAGGCAGGCAGGCAGGCAGGCAGGCAGGCAGGCAGGCAGGCAGGCAGGCAGGCAGGCAGGCAGGCAGGCAGGCAGGCAGGCAGGCAGGCAGGCAGGCAGGCAGGCAGGCAGGCAGGCAGGCAGGCAGGCAGGCAGGCAGGCAGGCAGGCAGGCAGGCAGGCAGGCAGGCAGGCAGGCAGGCAGGCAGGCAGGCAGGCAGGCAGGCAGGCAGGCAGGCAGGCAGGCAGGCAGGCAGGCAGGCAGGCAGGCAGGCAGGCAGGCAGGCAGGCAGGCAGGCAGGCAGGCAGGCAGGCAGGCAGGCAGGCAGGCAGGCAGGCAGGCAGGCAGGCAGGCAGGCAGGCAGGCAGGCAGGCAGGCAGGCAGGCAGGCAGGCAGGCAGGCAGGCAGGCAGGCAGGCAGGCAGGCAGGCAGGCAGGCAGGCAGGCAGGCAGGCAGGCAGGCAGGCAGGCAGGCAGGCAGGCAGGCAGGCAGGCAGGCAGGCAGGCAGGCAGGCAGGCAGGCAGGCAGGCAGGCAGGCAGGCAGGCAGGCAGGCAGGCAGGCAGGCAGGCAGGCAGGCAGGCAGGCAGGCAGGCAGGCAGGCAGGCAGGCAGGCAGGCAGGCAGGCAGGCAGGCAGGCAGGCAGGCAGGCAGGCAGGCAGGCAGGCAGGCAGGCAGGCAGGCAGGCAGGCAGGCAGGCAGGCAGGCAGGCAGGCAGGCAGGCAGGCAGGCAGGCAGGCAGGCAGGCAGGCAGGCAGGCAGGCAGGCAGGCAGGCAGGCAGGCAGGCAGGCAGGCAGGCAGGCAGGCAGGCAGGCAGGCAGGCAGGCAGGCAGGCAGGCAGGCAGGCAGGCAGGCAGGCAGGCAGGCAGGCAGGCAGGCAGGCAGGCAGGCAGGCAGGCAGGCAGGCAGGCAGGCAGGCAGGCAGGCAGGCAGGCAGGCAGGCAGGCAGGCAGGCAGGCAGGCAGGCAGGCAGGCAGGCAGGCAGGCAGGCAGGCAGGCAGGCAGGCAGGCAGGCAGGCAGGCAGGCAGGCAGGCAGGCAGGCAGGCAGGCAGGCAGGCAGGCAGGCAGGCAGGCAGGCAGGCAGGCAGGCAGGCAGGCAGGCAGGCAGGCAGGCAGGCAGGCAGGCAGGCAGGCAGGCAGGCAGGCAGGCAGGCAGGCAGGCAGGCAGGCAGGCAGGCAGGCAGGCAGGCAGGCAGGCAGGCAGGCAGGCAGGCAGGCAGGCAGGCAGGCAGGCAGGCAGGCAGGCAGGCAGGCAGGCAGGCAGGCAGGCAGGCAGGCAGGCAGGCAGGCAGGCAGGCAGGCAGGCAGGCAGGCAGGCAGGCAGGCAGGCAGGCAGGCAGGCAGGCAGGCAGGCAGGCAGGCAGGCAGGCAGGCAGGCAGGCAGGCAGGCAGGCAGGCAGGCAGGCAGGCAGGCAGGCAGGCAGGCAGGCAGGCAGGCAGGCAGGCAGGCAGGCAGGCAGGCAGGCAGGCAGGCAGGCAGGCAGGCAGGCAGGCAGGCAGGCAGGCAGGCAGGCAGGCAGGCAGGCAGGCAGGCAGGCAGGCAGGCAGGCAGGCAGGCAGGCAGGCAGGCAGGCAGGCAGGCAGGCAGGCAGGCAGGCAGGCAGGCAGGCAGGCAGGCAGGCAGGCAGGCAGGCAGGCAGGCAGGCAGGCAGGCAGGCAGGCAGGCAGGCAGGCAGGCAGGCAGGCAGGCAGGCAGGCAGGCAGGCAGGCAGGCAGGCAGGCAGGCAGGCAGGCAGGCAGGCAGGCAGGCAGGCAGGCAGGCAGGCAGGCAGGCAGGCAGGCAGGCAGGCAGGCAGGCAGGCAGGCAGGCAGGCAGGCAGGCAGGCAGGCAGGCAGGCAGGCAGGCAGGCAGGCAGGCAGGCAGGCAGGCAGGCAGGCAGGCAGGCAGGCAGGCAGGCAGGCAGGCAGGCAGGCAGGCAGGCAGGCAGGCAGGCAGGCAGGCAGGCAGGCAGGCAGGCAGGCAGGCAGGCAGGCAGGCAGGCAGGCAGGCAGGCAGGCAGGCAGGCAGGCAGGCAGGCAGGCAGGCAGGCAGGCAGGCAGGCAGGCAGGCAGGCAGGCAGGCAGGCAGGCAGGCAGGCAGGCAGGCAGGCAGGCAGGCAGGCAGGCAGGCAGGCAGGCAGGCAGGCAGGCAGGCAGGCAGGCAGGCAGGCAGGCAGGCAGGCAGGCAGGCAGGCAGGCAGGCAGGCAGGCAGGCAGGCAGGCAGGCAGGCAGGCAGGCAGGCAGGCAGGCAGGCAGGCAGGCAGGCAGGCAGGCAGGCAGGCAGGCAGGCAGGCAGGCAGGCAGGCAGGCAGGCAGGCAGGCAGGCAGGCAGGCAGGCAGGCAGGCAGGCAGGCAGGCAGGCAGGCAGGCAGGCAGGCAGGCAGGCAGGCAGGCAGGCAGGCAGGCAGGCAGGCAGGCAGGCAGGCAGGCAGGCAGGCAGGCAGGCAGGCAGGCAGGCAGGCAGGCAGGCAGGCAGGCAGGCAGGCAGGCAGGCAGGCAGGCAGGCAGGCAGGCAGGCAGGCAGGCAGGCAGGCAGGCAGGCAGGCAGGCAGGCAGGCAGGCAGGCAGGCAGGCAGGCAGGCAGGCAGGCAGGCAGGCAGGCAGGCAGGCAGGCAGGCAGGCAGGCAGGCAGGCAGGCAGGCAGGCAGGCAGGCAGGCAGGCAGGCAGGCAGGCAGGCAGGCAGGCAGGCAGGCAGGCAGGCAGGCAGGCAGGCAGGCAGGCAGGCAGGCAGGCAGGCAGGCAGGCAGGCAGGCAGGCAGGCAGGCAGGCAGGCAGGCAGGCAGGCAGGCAGGCAGGCAGGCAGGCAGGCAGGCAGGCAGGCAGGCAGGCAGGCAGGCAGGCAGGCAGGCAGGCAGGCAGGCAGGCAGGCAGGCAGGCAGGCAGGCAGGCAGGCAGGCAGGCAGGCAGGCAGGCAGGCAGGCAGGCAGGCAGGCAGGCAGGCAGGCAGGCAGGCAGGCAGGCAGGCAGGCAGGCAGGCAGGCAGGCAGGCAGGCAGGCAGGCAGGCAGGCAGGCAGGCAGGCAGGCAGGCAGGCAGGCAGGCAGGCAGGCAGGCAGGCAGGCAGGCAGGCAGGCAGGCAGGCAGGCAGGCAGGCAGGCAGGCAGGCAGGCAGGCAGGCAGGCAGGCAGGCAGGCAGGCAGGCAGGCAGGCAGGCAGGCAGGCAGGCAGTATTTACACATTTTCAAATCCCACTGCACTCACACGAGATACACACAACTCTCCACACATGTGCAAATAATTTTGCTACAATATTGCTCCCATGTCTTGTTGCAAATGTAATTTACACATTTTCAAATCCCACTGCACTCACACGAGATACACACAACTCTCCACACATGTGCAAATAATTTTGCTACAATATTGCTCCCATGTCTTGTTGCAAATGTAATTTATATAGAGCGGTGTTTACCTTCCTGAGGGTGGCTATGAGCTCGCTGTGCCTCTGGACGTGTTGAGACGTCACATACAGCATACTGAGTTGGTCCAGCGCTGACAGACACTTCCTGATATCCTGGAGAGAGACACGAGACCACCAGTCACTTCTATGGTTTTCCTGATGACCCTGGTGGGGGATGACGCTACTTGTTACACATTCTCTATTACCCCATTTACACTACCTTTGAAAAACCGTGCCGAGACCGGTCCGAGCTCAGTAACTGAGATAACTTATCGTGTGTAAATGGAAAGCAAACTCAACCGAACCGCGCTAACTGCAGACCAGTTCCAGAGGTGGGCTCGGCTCGGTTTTTCCCTGGCTCGGTTCTCTGATAACAAGAGCGCATCAGCAGAACGCGTCATCTCAGTCTGGCTGCACATCCTGATTCACACTCCATTCCAGTAGTTGGCGGTAATGCCCCTCCGGAAACAGAAGAAGAAGAACAACTTCTTCAACTATAAACAACAATCAAAATCTTCTCCACGCAACATTTCAAATAATGGCATTTGATTTGCTTGATTCCCTCCTTCTTCTTCGTCTTCTTCTTCTTGTGTTTAATGGCGGTTGGCAAACAACTTTTGGTGCATTACCGCCACTAACTGCTTGATTTCCTCCTTCAATACTGGCAGTAATACCGCAGATGGTCACTAGGAGGCGAGGAGTGGAGGAACCGAGATAGCGTGATGTTTAAACGGTCGTCAGAACCGAGCTCGGCCTGGTTAACTGATCCGAGCTCGGACCGGTCTCGGCATGGATCGGTTTTTCAAAGGTAGTGTAAATGGGGTATATGTTTGTGTGCGTGAAACGGCTTCCTGCACGGCAGCAAATCAACTTACGGGCTTTTCTGTTTTCAGAGATATCCGCAGGTCTCCGTTGATCCTGTGCAGAGTTGAATCCGTCCCGGTTGCACTCTCTCTTTCCGAGTCGTCTTTCTCTTCCTGTCCTGCTTCTTTGTCAACAGATTTCAACCGTAAAGCCTCAACTCGAGAAGTCCCACTCTTCGCCCCTCCATCATCCCTCTTCTGGTCTTTGCACTCTTCTGAACGTCTTAATGTCACTTGCTCCTCTTTTCTCTCCTCGTGTTTCTTCTTCTGCTCCCTTGTTATTCTCACTACCTCTGTTTCCTTCCTCCCTTCCAGAGATCTTGGCTCCTCTTGTTTTCTTGTCGCCTTGTCTACAGCTTTGTTCTTCTTTTGCTCCTTAGTCTCTTCTTTAGTCTCCTGATATTGGCCGTCCTGTTTCTTCTTCTGTTCTCGTGTTAGCCTAACTACCTCAGGTTCCCTCCTCCGGTCCTGCTCCTCCTGCTTTGTCGTTTTGCCTCCTGCTCCACTCATCTTCTGCTCTTTTCTCTCCTTTTGTGGACTTAATCTCATTCTGTTGTCAGTTTGGTTTTCGTGTTTCTTCCTCTTTTCACGTGTTATTCGGACCCCCTCTGACTCCCCCCTCCCTTCCTGTTTTTTGGCCTCCTTGTCTTCAGCATCACTCTTCCTCCGCTCTTCTCTCCCCTCCGGTCGGTGAGACGAGGTTCTGTCGTCTGTTTTCTCCTTAAGTTTGCTGTCATGTTTCGGTTTTTCACGCGTTACTCTGACCGCCTCCGCTTCCCTGCTGCCTTCCTGATTTTTTTGCTCCTCCCGTCTTCCTGCCACCTTCTCTTGAACTTCATTCTGCTTCTGCTCTTTGGGTTTTTCTTTTTTAGTGTCAGACTTTTCCTCCTCCTTTACTGTGCTTCTTCTTTTTTCTCTCTCTGAAGTCTTTTTCACCTCCTCCGTGACCTCATTCTCCTCCTTTCTCTTCTTCTTCTCCTCCTCCTCAGCAGCTGCTTTTGTTAGTCCTCCCAGCATAGTCTTCAAATGGACCTTTGTTCCCTGACTGGCCTTCACGATCTTTCCGATTATTTTCCTCTCATCTCTCTGCAGCTTTGTCTCATCTTCTCCTTTGCTCATGGTCTTTTCTTTACTTTTGTCTTCAGCTGACTCTCTAGGTGATGTCCTTTCCTCTCCGACCGTCCTTGTTCCGCTCTCCCCTTGCTTACTTCTCTTGTCATCGGTCCTCTCAGCTGTAAACTTTCTAGCGGCCTCCTTGTCCTTGCTGCTACTTTCATTTGTCTTCTCTTCCTTCTGCCCACCTGTCCGTGGTCGAGACCGTCTGTCTTCCTCATGATCATCGACTTTAGTTCCTTTATCTTTGTTGCGTTTCTCTTCCTTCCGCTCAGATGTTGCCTTTTTGGTGGTCGTCTCTCCTCCTGTCCCTTTGTCCGTCTGCTCCTCCTCGCCATCCCTGCTGACGTTCTTCATTTTAACAGATGTTCCTCCTTCTCCTACAGCACTGATAAAGACATAAAGCCAAAACAGATAAATTACGCCTGTATTGGATCGCTTTGGACAAATAAGGTGCGAGTCGTCTTCCTTACTGAGAGCTCTTCGTTGGTTCCTTCGTCTTCAGCAGACCTCTGAGAGATCGGATCAAACTCTCCCTCCGCGCCACCAGATGATGGTGCCGCTGTTTGAGAAGATGTGTTCAGCAACGTTAAACAAATATCGTTTTTTGGTTTTACACGCTCTCTACAGCTCAAATAAATCGCCATTTAACTGCAGTTTGAAAGGATAGACCCGCAACAATACACATGATTAAGGATGAAGGGAGAAAAATGTCTGCTAATTATTTTATATCGTAAAAGTAAACCTTAAATTTCAAATAGAAAAACACTTACCGTATTTTCACGACTATAAGGCGCATATAAACATATTTTTTTCCCCTCAAAATGTGCGGCGCGCCCTTTGGTGCGGTGCGCCCTATGTGTGTTGTTACTGCTGGTTTTTGAGACCACCTCATTGAGGAGATGATGAAAGAGTGGCTGAGGGAGGTGAATGTAAGGAGACCAGCTGCATATAGGCGCAGCAAAAGGTCCAGCAGCGCGTTTTGAGCAGCAGGCGCAGTGCGTCGGGAGCGTTTAAGCATCTGACGCGCTTGACGCGCCGGCAGCACGCTGCTGCTGCTCAAGATGGAAAAAATGAAGTTTTGCTGCTGGAAGCACCGCATCAACCAATCAGAGAAGCTGATCTGGGAGCTGACAGCGAGACAGACACATCGCTCTGATGACATATGATATTAAGACAAATGAAAAGGGCTGGATGGATGAAGAGATGATGAAAGAGTGGCTGAGGCAGGTGTATGTGAGGAGACCAGGTGGTTTTTTCCACACATCACCATCGCTGTTAATCTGTGACTCCATGAGTGCCCATCTCACAGCCGATGTGAAAAACATGGTGAAACAAATAAACGCTGTGCTCGCCGTTATCCCGGGGGTCTGACAAAGGAACTTCAACTGCTCGACATCGGTGTGAAGCGGCCGTTCAAAGTAAGGCTGCGAGCAGCGTGGGAGCGATGGATGACAGACAGAGACCACAGTTTCACGAAAAGTGGAAGGCAGCGCCGGGCAAGTTACGCCACCGTTTGCGGATAGATTGTAGATGCTTGGACTAACGTGTCTGCTGGCTCTGTTGTTCAAGCTTTTGCAAAAGCCGGCATTATTTCTGAGGAGCCGCGTTGCACGGAAAGTGACTCTGACAGCGAAGAAGGGGAAATTGGCATGTCTAACTTAGCGCAGTTGTTTAATTCAGAAACAGAGGATGATGACTTTGATGGGTTTGATTAATACTTTGTAATAAATACATGAATAAAGCACAGTCATACTCAGTTTTGCCCCCGCTGTATTTTTAAATACGCAGTAGAGGTATTTAAACATAGCAGAGGACATGTACCTGTATATAAAAAAGGCGCCCTATAGTCCAATGCGCCTTGTGTGTGTTAAATACAGAAATGGCACACATAACTGAGACTGCGCCTTTTAGTACGGTGCGCCTTATGGTCATGAAAATACGGTACTTATAGTTTCTCAGGTTGATAGTATGTACAAAATTAAATACATCACAAGTGAAAAAATGTCCAACATTTTGTCGTTTATAGGATAAAATAGCTGACCAGGATAGCAGACGATGCTAAAGACGTCAGTTTAATCAGGAAGTAGTCATTTTACATAGTGAGTCAGTATTTATTCACCTTTGAGTTGGAGTTTGTATCCTTTAACAAGGACGAATACGAAGCAATCAGAGTCTTAGTGGTTTTATTAATGCTCGCTGGTTTAATCACCGCTGCTAAATGTTCTTTGATCTGATGCAGAGCCGCCGGACATTCATTATCATTCAGAACATTTTCCAGACTTAAGACCATTTTGCCACAGTTTCAAATAAATAATTGGAGCAATGATCCAACTGAGCACTTTTACCATTCCTGATAGAAAGAACAAATATAATTTCTCCCTGGACTGGCTTTTCATCTATACCTAGCAAAGCTATATGCTTAGCTTCTTTACCAAGAGCACTTATGCTCCCAAATGAAAAATTACATTGTTCTATGTAGGGTTGTCAAAAGTATCGATACTCAAAACAGTATCGATACTGAAACATTGTCGCCGTGACAACAGACTAGCAAGACACTCATATGAAAGCTTGCATGAGGCGCACCAGTGCGATTTCTATTTATTCTGAAAAACATATGATTACGATACCAAGCATTTATGAGCACCACACTCAAAATTCAAGCATTAATTTAAACCTTAATTTAAACCTTTCAAGGGGTTCAAGCACCCGTACGATTCATATCATACGGCCACTTCGTGCAAGTGACTTTCACATTTCATTTGCCCAGAAACAATTTTTACTTGCCCAGTATAATGTTATATAAATATAGTTCCTAATATTCATTTTTGTATATATATCAATGAAACATGTTTGTTTTTTAAATGTTTTTTTTATAATTCAGTATTTTTTAAGTTTCCAGGTTCCTGGTGTGTATCTGCATGCGTCAGATAATGAACTCAAGCCTACGTTACCATGTTAACATGCTTTTCAATCCTTCCTGCACATTCTTTTCAAACTAAACTTTGCTTTAAACTGTTGTGTGCTTGGAAAAATATAAATTGTAATGTTAAAAATCTAAAAAAAACTTGACAGGTTAAAAACTTACACTACTACTACTCACCAATTTATCATGTTTAGCTCTATAACATTTAAATACACCACTCCAATGTCTAAGAGAAAAAATGTAATGAACATTTTTTAATGTATGACCACTGTACTGAAGACTGGCATATGATAGAAATATTTACACTGTGCACATACAGTTATTATTTTCCTAATCCCTGACTGATCATTTTTAATATAGCGTGTATTATAGTATAGATTAAATTCATCATCCAGCTGCTGCTCTGCAGAATTCTCTCCCCAAGAGCTGAATCACGCCATCTAGCGGAAAATCACGCCGCTTTTTCAAATCACGCCTTTCAACTCATTGAAAGGCGTGGTTAGGGTTAGCCCTAACTCACGCATTTCAACTCAGCCTAACTGGGTTGAAATGAAGGCTAGGAGAGATAAAATAAAAGAAGACACCTGTTCTGAAATGTTTATCTAGCCAGTGAAAGATATAGATTAACCTAAAAGGGAATGTCCTTGATAAACTGAAGTTGTTTTCCTCCAAATGTTCGCCTGTGAGAAAGTGCTTTATGCAGGGGTGGGATGGTCCCAAGGGATAGTTTGTGTTAGGATTTGTAAAGTATAATTTTTTTTAGCAATACTTTGCTGACAAAGCTGCAAAGAGATCACAAGCTGGATGCTGTTGGTTGGCTTTTGAGGATTTTTCCATTAATAGTGATTAATTTACTCATTTAATAACATTACATCATGTAAAAGCTGATTTCTGCATTAGACTAAAAAGCCTAAAAAAAAGCAACAAAATCAAAGTTTACCTCGTGGCCCTTTTCTTCAGCAAACTCCTCCCCTCCATCCTCTGTTCTCCTCTTCATCTGTTGTCCACCTCTCTCATCTTCTATGTGCTTGCCGTGTTTTCCTCTCTTCTCTACCTTCTCGTCTTCTGTTTCTCTTCTCCTCTTTGTCCCTCGACCTCCGTCGTTCCTCAAATGTTTCTCTGCTGCAGGTTCTTTAGTTGTCTTTGGGTTTATTTCCTTTTCTCTAGTTCTTCTCACCTCTTGGGTTTCTGAGCTTGGTCTACCTTTCTCTTCTTTATTTACATTGTGTGTTTTCTTGTTGTCCATCTTTTTCTGATCCTTTTTGTCATCTCTTCTAGTCCTCATTTGATCCAGTTCTTCCCCAGTTTTCTCTTTCTCCGTTCTCCTGGTCTTCATTCCTTCTCCTTTTCCTTCACTCTTCTCTGTAGGTTTCTCCAGATTCCTGGGTTTGTTCTTCTCTGATTTCTCGTCATCTTTTTTGCCCTTTTTGGACATTGTCTCCATTTCCTCCTCGTTTCTCCTGCTCTTCAGCACTTCTTTTTTGTCTTGGTGTTTCTCTTCAGCTTTCATACCTTTCTCAGTTTTTCTTCTGTCCTCAGGTGTACTATCTTTCTCTGCTCTCCTCATCTTCATCCCTTCAGTTTTCTCCTCCTTCTCAACTTCTCTAGTTTTATCTTCCTTATTCTTCCATTCTCTCTTCCTCCTTTCCGTTTCATCCCCATATGCATCCTTGTTCCTGGTTTCTCTGACCTTCATAGTTTGTTTCTCCAGTCTTCCTTCCATCTCCGCTGCCCCGTTGTCTCTCTGAGATCTCCTGATCCTTATTTCTTCTCTACTGTCATCCTTCTCCTTGCTCTCAATTCTCCTCATCTTTCTGCCCCTTTTTTCCTCCTCTGATGTCTGCTCATCTCTCGCAGCTCTCCTGGTCCTCACCTCCTCCCCTTTGTCCTCCTGTTTCTCTTCCTCTCTATCTGCTTTCCTTGTTTTTCTTCCATGTGTTTCCTCCTCAGTTCCTCCCATCTTTATCCCCTCTCTTCCAGCTTCTGTCTCCTCTTTCTTTCTTTTCAAACCTCTACTCTCTGATGTCTGATCCATCATCCCTTCACTGCTCCTCGAATTCCGGTTTTCTCTTGCTTCCCTCCTGTTATCTCTCTCTTCCTTCTTCCTCTTGACATTTTGCATCTCCTCCTTTTCCATATCTATTCCCCTCTTTCCAGAAGTTGCCACATGGGGAACATCATCGAGCTGCAACAGAGTACAGAACTTCAGGAAGGAGATACATGATGCTTCAAAGAAAAAAAAACAGGATTTATTGAACCTTAAAAAGAGAGAGAAAAATTCCTCCCAAGGAACAACAGTGTCTGAATATCAAACATCCCTGCAGAGTTTCCTCAGCTTCCCCAAACTCCAATCACGCTGTTCTATTGGTAACAATTTGCCTCTGAACCAGATAAACACAGCGGAGAAAACGGCTGGAGGAGGGGGAGGCCTTGCAGAGGAAAGACTATTTACTGCTCAATAAAACAAAAGGGAATTCCATCAACAGACAATAAAAAAACTTAAAGCGTTATGCATATCAATTGGTTCACTTCCTTGGCAAAGAAAATATCTAAATTGTTTTATTTTATTGTTATTGTATTCATACAGCTAATCTATAGCTAAATACATTTCAAAGCAAAAAGAAGGAGGGAGCAGTGCAAAGGGGATTGGGCGGCAGCCAGAGGCGGAGACCTCGGCGACCTGATCCGCAGGCGCTTAAACTGGCTCTGGGGACGTGGAACGTCACCTCACTGGCGGGGAAGGAGCCCGAGCTAGAAATAGTTGGGCTCGCCTCTACACACAGCCAGGGCTCTGAAACCCAGCTCCTTGAGAGAGGCTGAACTCTCTTCTACTCTGGAGTGACCCGCGGGGAGAGGCGGAGGTGGGGCTGCTTGTCTCCCCCCAGCTCAGCCGTCTCGTGTTGGAGTTCACCCCGGTAGACGAGAGGGTTGCATCCCTTCACCTTCGGGTTGAAGGGAGGACTCTGACAGTTGTTTCGGCCTATGGGCCAAAACAACTTCAAAGCCCACATGGGAAACCACAGTGACACCTGGAGGGGCATGATTGGGAGGAATGGACCCCCAGCTCTGAAACCAAGTGGTTTCTCATTTTTGGACTTCTGTGCAAGTCACGGATTGTCCATAATGAACACCATGTTCAGGCATAAGGATGTCCATCGGTGCACTTGGCACCAGGACACCCTAGGCCAAAGGTCGATGATCGGCTTTGTAGTCGTATCTTCTGATCTTCGGCCGCATGTCTTGGTGGTGAGTTGGATACGCTGGAAGAGGAGAATGCCTGAAAGACTCGGCAGGCCCAAATGTGTAGTGAGGGTCTGTTGGGAATGTCTGGTTGAACCCTCGGTCAGGGACGTGTTCAACTCCCACCTCCGGTAGAGCTTCTCTCAGGTTCCGAGGGAGGTTGGAGACATGGAGTCCAAATGGGCTGTGTTCTCTGCCTCTGTTGTCAATGCGGCTGCCCGTAGCTGTGGCCGTAAGGTTTGCGGTGCCTGTCGTGGTGGCAATCCCCGAACCCGGTGGTGGACACCGATAGTAAGGGATGCTGTCAAGCTGAAGAAGGAGTCCTATCGAGCTTGGTTGGCTTGTGGGACTCCTGAAGCAGCAAGCAGGTACCGTGAGGCCAAGCGTGTCGTGGCCCGGGTGGTTGCAGAAAATCTCGGGCAAGGGAGGAGTTAGGAGAGGCCATGAAAAAAAGACTATCGGTTGGCCTCAAAGCGATTCTGGCAAACCGTCCGGCGCCTCCGGAGGGGAAAGCTGTGCTTCACTAACACTGTTTTCAGTGGGAGTGGGGAGCTGCTGACCTTGAAGGAGGATATTGTCGGGCGGTGGAAGGAATACTTTGAGGATCTCCTCAGCCCGACAGACACGCCTTCCGTGGGGGAAGAAGAGACGGGGTGCTTGGGGCTGGATTCGTTCATCATCCAGGCTGAAGTCACCGAGGTGGTCAAAAAACTCCACGGTGGCAAGGCTTCAGGGGTGGGTGAGATCCATCCTGAGTATCTTAGAGCTCTGGATGTGGTCGGCCTGACATGGCTGACAAGTCTCTTCAACATCGCGTGGAGGTCGGGGACAGTCCCCCTGGATTGGCAGACTGGGGTGGTGGTTCCCCTCTACAAGAAGGGGGGCCGGAGGGTGTGTTCTAACTATCGGGGAATCACACTTCTCAGCCTCCCCGGAAAGGCCTATGCCAGGGTGCTGGAGAGGAGAGTCCGGCTGATTGTCGAACCTCCGCTGCAGGTGGAGCAGTGTGGTTTTCGTCCTGGCCGTGGAACGGTGGACCAGCTCTACACCCTCTGCAGGGTGCTTGAGGGTTCATGGGAGTTTGCCCAACCAGTCCACGTGTGTTTTGTGGACTTGGAGAAGGCATTCGATCGTGTTCCTCGTGCTGCCCTCCCCGGGGTGCGACAGGAGTATGGAGTTGGGGGCCCTTTATTAGGGGCCATTCGTTCTCTGTACAAGCGGAGCAGGAGTCTGGTTCGCATTGCCGGCGTTAAGTCGGACCTGTTCCCAGTGCATGTTGGACTCTGACAGGGCTGCCCTCTGTCACCGGTTCTGTTCATAACTTTTATGGACAGGATTTCTAGGCACAGCCAAGGAACGGAGGGGGTCTGGTTTGGGGACCAGCGGATCTCATCCCTGCTTTTTGCAGATGATGTAGTGCTGCTGGCTCCCTCCTGCCAAGACCTACAGCGTGCGCTGGGGCGGTTCGCAGCCGAGTGTGAAGCGGATGAGAATCTGCTCCTCCAAGTCCGAGGCCATGGTTCTCGACCGGAAAAAGGTGGCTTGTCCCCTTCAGGTTGGAGGAGAGTCCCTGCCTCAAGTGGAGGAGTTCAAGTATCTTGGGGTCCTGTTCACGAGTGAGGGAAGAATGGAGCGGGAGATTGATAGACGGATCGGTGCGGCTGAGCAATAATGCAGACGCAGCGCTGGTCTGTCGTAGTGAAGAGAGAGCTGAGCGAAAATGCAAAGCTCTCAATTTACCGGTCGGTCTACGTTCCTACCCTCACCTATAATCATGAAATCTGGATCATGACCGAAAGAACGAGATCCCGGGTACAAGCGGCTGAAATTAGCTTTCTCCGCAGGGTGGCTGGGCTCTAACTTAGAGATAGGGTGAGGAGGTCGGTCATTCGGGAGAGACTCAGTGTAGAGCAGGTTCTCCTCCACATCGAGAGGAGTCAGTTGAGGTGGCTCGGACATCTTCTTCGGATGCCCCTTGAAGGCCTCCCTTGGGAGGTGTTCCAGGCATGTCCCACCGGGAGGAGGCCCAGGGCACGACCCAGGACACGCTGGAGAGACTATGTCTCTCGGCTGGCCTGGAGCGCCTAGGGCTTCCCCCAACAGAGCTGGAGGAGGTGTATGCGGAGAGGGAAGTCTGGGAGTCTCTGCTTAGTCTGCTGCCCCCGCGACCCGGTTCCGGATAAAGCGGGAGACGACGAGTACGAGTACAAAAAAAAGCTAAAATTGTAACAGTGCACCAACTTTTTCATGACACTGGTAGCAGGTAATTGTGTTCACCTTTATATCTGCTCCTTTGCTCCGGGTGGAAACTCGGCTTCCAGAGGAAGATCCCTCTGTGTTTGAAGAGCTGGAAGCTGTCGATGCTGCTGCAGCTTCCTGATCACTACTGCTCTTACTTTCCTTCTCAGCTGGATGTTTACTTGCATTTGGTTCTGCAGCCGGTTTTCTATCAGAGGCAAAGTCGACTGTGGAAGCTATTCTTGCTCTCACCTGAAGGACGTGAAGATATAAGCCATAAACCACACAAACCACAGGCTACTGCTAAGCACAAAGTGAGCATACAATGTCTCATTGCAGACATTGGTCATTTCGTATCCATACCTCTTTTTTAATATGTGCAGAACTTTCCAATTCAGTTGATCGTTCTACAACTGTACCAGCACTAGCTGACCTTCTGCTTCTTGTAGCTGCAACTTTCTCTGTAGCTTGCAGATCTGGATCTATTCTGGTCGCTGAAACCTGCCCGACTGTACCTTTACCAGGTTTGGATTCTGCCGTTTTATCCAGAGCTAACCTGGATAACTGTATTCTTGGGACATAGCTCTCTGCTGCTTCTTTAAACTGTCTGAATTCAATGTTGTCATTTGACTCTAATCTAATGACTTTAGATTCAGTGTTTTCATCTGAAGCTAATCTAGATGATGTTCTTTTAGCTGTAGCAGGTTCTGTGGCGTCTTTATCCTGTTTGGATTCTATATTGTCATCTGAGGCTAATCTAGATGATGTTCTTTTAGCTGTAGCAGGTTCTGTGGCGTCTTTATCCTGTTTGGATTCTATATTGTCATCTGAGACTAACCTAGGCGATGTTCTTTTAGCTGTACCAGGTTCTGTGGCATCTTTAGCCTGTTTGGATTCTATATTGTCATCTGAGGCTAATCTAGGCGACGTTCTTTTAGCTGTACCAGGTTCTGTGGCATCTTTAGCCTGTTTGGATTCTATATTGTCATCTGAGGCTAATCTAGGCGACGTTCTTTTAGCTGTAGCAGGTTCTGTGGCGTCTTTATCCTGTTTGGATTCTATATTTTCATCTGAGGCTAATCTAGGCGACGTTCTTTTAGCTGTAGCAGGTTCTGTGGCGTCTTTATCCTGTTTGGATTCTATATTGTCATCTGAGGCTAATCTAGGCGACGTTCTTTTAGCTGTACCAGGTTCTGTGGCATCTTTAGCCTGTTTGGATTCTATATTGTCATCTGAGGCTAATCTAGGCGACGTTCTTTTAGCTGTAGCAGGTTCTGTGGCGTCTTTAGCCTGTTTGGATTCTATATTTTCATCTGAGGCTAATCTAGGCGACGTTCTTTTAGCTGTAGCAGGTTCTGTGGCGTCTTTAGCCTGTTTGGAATCTATATTGTCATCTGAGGCTAATCTAGGCGACGTTCTTTTAGCTGTAGCAGGTTCTGTGGCGTCTTTATCCTGTTTGGATTCTATATTTTCATCTGAGGCTAATCTAGGCGACGTTCTTTTAGCTGTAGCAGGTTCTGTGGCGTCTTTATCCTGTTTGGATTCTATATTTTCATCTGAGGCTAATCTAGGCGACGTTCTTTTAGCTGTACTAGGTTCTGTGGCGTCTTTATCCTGTTTGGATTCTATATTGTCATCTGAGGCTAATCTAGGCAACGTTCTTTTAGCTGTAGCAGGCTCTGTGGCGTCTTTATCCTGTTTGGATTCCATATTTTCATCCAAGGCTAATCTAGGTGACGTTCTTTTAGCTGTAGCAGGTTCTGTGGCGTCTTTAGCCTGTTTGGATTCTGTATTGTCATCTGGAGCTAATCTAGGCGACGTTCTTTTAGCTGTAGCAGGTTCTGTGGCGTCTTTATCCTGTTTGGATTCTATATCATTTGAGGCTAATCTAGATGTTGTTCTTTTAGCTGTAGCAGGCTCTGTGGCGTCTTTATCCTGTTTTGATTCCATATTTTCATCCGAGGCTAATCTAGCTGACGTTCTTTTAGCTTTATCAGGCTCTGTGGCGTCTTTATCCTGTTTGGATTCTGTTTTTTTATCAGGAGCTAATCTGGACGACATTCTTTTAGCCACAGAAGGCTCTGTGGTGTCTCTTACCACTTTAGATTCATCATTACCTGAAGCTAACCTGGACGACATTCTTTTAGCTGCTGAAGGCACGGCAGCGTCTTTATCCAGCCCGGATTCTGTTTTTTTATCAGGACCCAATTTAGACAATGTTCTTTTAACTGCAACATGGTCCACAGCATTTTTCTCAAGTTTGGATTCAATATTTTCATCCAAAGCTAATGTAGATGGTGTTCTTGTAGCCGCAACTGGCTGTACATTGTCTTTATGCAATTTGAATTCAGTTCTTTTCTCTGAAGCTAATCTAGACGATGTTCTTTTAGCTGTGGCAGTCTCCATGGAGTCCCTTATGAGTTTAGACTCATTGTTATCTGAAGCTAATCTAGACGACGTTCGTTTAGCTGCCGCAGGCTCCACAGTGTGTCTTACCAGTTTAGACTTATCATTATCTGAAGCTAATTTAGACGATGTTCTTCTTGCTTTATCCAGATTTCCGCTCTCACCTAACACCCTACCAGCCATACTTTTGCTTGAATTGTGCTCAAGCTTAATTGGGGAGGAGGTAACTTTAGGTTTGCCATCAATAGCTTTGGTAGCAGAAGATGATTTGGGGAGTGTAGAAGAAGAAGCTGGTTTTGCTGGTGGTGATGTAGTGTTGATCTTTAATGGAACCTGTAGAAAACAGAGTGTGTCAAATCCAAAAGTATATAACTGTCTAATAGCCATTAGTGATTTTTTTTTTTTTTTCCAAGGAGGACTGTGAACAATCATGTATAAGATCAGTCCAAATAGCATTCTGGTAATGCAGGATCTGAGTAAAAGACACAGTAGAATAAGGGATCTTCATTCTCCTGTTTTAAAGTGTGGAAGATTATAAGATCAAATTGCAAACTTATCAACGTTAAGTAGCAGAACCACGAGGGTTCGAAAGCATCCCAGTTTAGAAAAGCACAACAACTACGATGGACTCACTTTAAGCTTACTGCCGATTCCAGGCGTGTTTTGGATCTCCCACATACCCTCGGCAAAGCCCTTGATGCGTACGCCGCTGCCGTACTTCAGCTTGTTGCCAACGTAAGGAACAACATTCTCTGGTGTGACGCAGCCTCTGAGAAAGACATTAACCACAGCATGGTTTAGGTGGGACAAAAAGGCACACTGTCAATTGGCTGCTGAAAGTACCTACATTTGATGGGTGCCAAAAAAGTAGACTGGAACTCGCTTCCTATATCCGGTCTCTGATTTGCAAACCTGTAAAACACAAAGAAGCATTGAAGCAGTGGAAAAAAACAGCTCTAAAGAATTCAGAGTGTATTGTTAATTTACGTACTCTGGCAGGCCAGTGAGGAAAGCCTTTCATTTTAGCGAACACCAGGTCGCCGGGTTTGAGCTGATCACTGATTTTACCTGACATCCTGCAGATCCGCAGTGTGACTAAAAGTCAGCTGAAATAAAAACATCATCAGAGAAATTAGAAGTGGACAATCTTCCCTTCATTAGATCTGATTTGGGTCAATTGCCAAAATACAAAAACAACACTGTTTTTTCTTATTCATTCAGCACAGAAAACCTAAGATTTCCCAGGCGTGCAGGTCTCTCCCCCTCTTTAAAGCTTTTTTAAATTTACATAAAAAAATTAAAATAAAAAGACTAAAAAGAGACTTCCAGGATGGGAAGCGAAACGTCTTCAAACTTAAAATCAAAGTCTATTGGATTGTTTGTAACTGCAATGACCTGGATGACTGAAAATCTTCACCAAAAGCTTTACGGATGTTACTACTAGTGATGTTATGAGATGAGCCAAGGCTTTGAGGTGTTTGTCGAGTACTGGAGGGGGCTTTTCCGCAAGGCTTGCTTTATTTGGGGGAGGAGCCACAATATAGAACATTCGAAGCCTTACTACCCTGCCATACCATGTGACTGCTTCAGGAAGTGGTTCAGCTCACCCGGAACTTCGGCAGGCATTTAAACAGCCTCAGTGTTCAGTCAAGATGTGGGAGTTTGTAGGGGAGTTGCGGTCAGTTGGATAGAGTTTGGATATATTTTAAGAATCGATTGATTGGAAAAACAACCAGTCTAGTTTGGTTAGATCAAACAACCAAAATCTGAGCGAGCCACTGGTTACAAATGTAAGGAGTTTTAACTAGTATTGCTTTCAGCACTGTTGTCATCTTGGTAGTGGCGTCAGCTGTAAGACATGGACTTCCACTCTTAAAGGAATAGTACACCCAAAACATGATTAGCCTTCATTTTCTACTCACCCCCATGCTGAACAACACTCTGGAGTACTTTTTTGATATCTCAAATGCATCTGGAGATCTGGGAGGCTTCTTGCTGTCTGCTGACATTCAAATAATGGAGGTCCATAGCGCCTGAGGCAGAAAGGTCCATAAAAGTCCACAAAAAACATGTCAATATTCCTCCATACTGCTCGTCCAATGTATTCCAAGTGTCCTGAGTGGGTAGCATCCAGAATTTACTCGAAACGAAGTCATTTAGAATGTTTTTAGAGCATAAACAGTAGTGTATAGGATTTCTTAAAAGCGCGCGCCTGCGAGTTCATGACGCTACGGAAACCGCGGCAGACCAAACCAGATGAAATTGCGCATTCAGCTCGGAAAAGAAGTCATGCTCTTCCTCAACACTGAAGTCCTCAGACATTTTTCTTTCGTTGTTTCTTTCTTTGCACAGGTAAACAGCACATTTCTTCTTCTACGCTTGCATTATCGGCAGAGCAGACGCTGAATGCGCACTTTCATCTGGTTTGGTCTGCCGCGGTTTCCGTAGACTCGTGAACGCGCTTTTAGGAAATCCTATACACTACTGTTTATGCTCTAAAAACATTCTAAATGAATTTGTTTCGAGTAAATTCTGAATGCTAACCACTCAGGACACTTGGAATACATTGGACGAGCAGTATGGAGGAATATTGACACTTTTTTTGTGGACTTTTATGGACCTTTCTGCCTCGGGCGCCATAGACCTCCATTATTTGAATGTCAGCAGACAGCAAGAAGCCTCCCAGATCTCCAGATGCATTTGAGATATCAAAAAAGTACTCCAGAGTGTTGTTCAGCATGGGGGTGAGTAGAAAATGAAGGCTAATCATGTTTTGGGTGTACTATTCCTTTAAATGCGGAAAAAAACAAGAAAAACAATTGCAAAAAAAAAAAAAACATACATTATATTACTAACTGTAGTTCTGTCCTCCACCAGTAGGTGGTGACATGTTCACATGAGGCTTCATGAACAGTGTGGACAGGGGTGGACTGGGACAAAAAAAAAAAATCAGCCCTGGCATTTTGGACTAGACCGGCCCACCACATTTTTTTTGGTGTACTGAATGTGTATTAAACTGTACAATACACTGAGGCCAGATTCAATGAAATTAGTGAGAGTGGACACTTAAAATACTTCCAATACTATTTACACTGTAAAATGTAAACTCCACCACAGCACAGCAACATTTCTTAGATCAGGGAGAGGGGGGGAGGGAGAGAGAGAGAAAGTCACAGTCAATCACGCCCATTACGCTACGCTTCTCATGCTCTTCTGTGCACTGGTGCACATGCCTCCAATCAGACGTCCCAGTAATAAATGAGCTTGTGTCAGAAGTCTTTCCAAACGCAATGCATACAAAACAAAATAAAGCTTGACGTTTCTCACAATATGTGAGCCACCTCCTGTTGGTTGCATTTTCAGTGGTGAATACCTTTTGCACAACTGGATTTTTTGTGCTTTGTTGTGAGTGGTGATTCAAAAAGTTTTGTAAAAGAAAAGGATCAGGACAGGCGAAGTAATCTATTTCCTCCTGCTCTCTGCTCTCATGTCTCTCGCCATGTCTCTCCTCAGCCGCACTGACATCATGTTCACTGCTCATTTCGCTGTCACCTCCACTAAAACCACAGGCATCCCAATTTCAAAAACTAATTTCAGGGAGATGCTTAATGAAGATCAATGGTGCCTTCATCAGTAGTGGATTAGAGATATACAGTGAAGTTCACAGGAGGGCCGATTCAATTCAGTTTGGTTCAAGTAGATATTTCATGATGGAGAATAATATAATAATACATATTATTAATATACATGTCGGGTCTGCCGGCCCAAACAGCATGTCGGCCCACCAGGCAAATGCCCGGTACGCCCGATTACCAGTCCATGTCTGTGTGTGGATCATCGAAGCCTCATGAGGCTTCATCTCACCATCACTAGTTACTACATAAAATACACTATTGTTTCAGGATTTAATAGGCTGTAGCCACTAGGGCTGAAACAGTTAATCGGATTAATCGATTACTGAAAAAAATCATCAGTTGACTTAGTAATCAATTAATCGTTAACTGGAGTATAGAGACTGTAAAACATGCCTTTAACTGGAGGAGCAACCCACGTGGAAGTAATTATATGATTGTAAAAAAAATATAAACACATACAAATTTTATTAATAAAAGCATTTTACAGTTAAGGTATAAAAAAAAAATCTGTCAACATGATCTATTCAGAACTTTTAAGTGAAAAAGTTTTAGTTTCACCTGGTTTAATAATAATTAAAAAAAAGTCCTCTTTAAGTAACCTTTGTCTATCCGATTATTATTCTAGCCCCAGTAGCCACCCTAAACTAGCTTACTTGTTTGAATTTGGATAATCGTCTCAACTCTTCTGACTTTTGTCTATTTTTTTTATCGATTTTACTCTATTTTACCATTTAAAGGCTGATGCTGTGCTTGTATACAACTCAACTGCTTTCAAATGAGCAGTAGGGCAGATATAGTCTGCTAACTTCTATTTTCACGATAGTTCAAATAAAACAGATTATTTATCCTATAAATCTCTGCTAACAGTCTCAGTCCCCCAGTTATAATTAGATTATGAACCATTCTAATGTGTTTACTTGATGCACAGTGATACACACGACCCACCCCCTGTTTTTAAGGATTAGCAATAAACGTCTCAGTAACCGTTAGCAAACCGTTGTAGACCTCAGTTGTAGCGATTTAGCGACATGGCGGTCAACAGGCAAACACAGCCAGCTCTGTCTCACCGGCTCCTCTGCGTTCAGGGTGTTTGGTCTTTAGTTTACCCTCTAACTCAGCGGTTTCGCTTGGCATCGGCGTGTTCAATCATTGTTTACAAATACGACCAAGCTAGCAGAAGTGCTAATAGCCAGTCACTACCAAAAACAACCGTTCAAATCTTCGCTTCGGGATCACGAATCGTTTCATATTGCAGGTTGCTCACCTTGGATTAAAACACAGTCCCCCTGAATCAACGTTTCATTAAAGAAATAGTCCGGTGGTGGAGCTACAGCCTTACGATGGCCGCCATATTGCCCCATTCGCTCCCGTGACGTGATCAACAGATTTCCCGCCATGCTGGACCGTACCAATCTGATCTAGAAGAGGGGTGGTCCATACGATATTTGTATCTTAATTTTTCAAATAAAAGATATAAACATTATGAAACTTTTGCTTAACAACATACTAGAACATCAAAAACTATACTTGAAACAAAAATGTCTTGTGTTTTTCAAACAAAGGCTTAGTTTCTGGGAATAGACAAAAAATATTTATGGGCCAAAAAAATGCCTAAACATTTAACCAGACATTTGGGGTTAAAGAGAAAACATACAAATACAGATAAATAACCGTTTGTTTTGTCTTACAGAATGGCCCCACATTTATGTTGTACAAGTAAAAATACCTAAATTTACAGCTGACAAAAACACAGAGGAATATACGGAAGAGGATTAGAGCCACTGAATTTTTTTTTAATTACCTTATTTTTTAATATTACTTCAGTATGAGAAAATGTCAGAATTCTGACTTTAGTCTCAGAATGCTAACTTTAATCTCAGAATTCTAACTTTAGTCTCAGAATGCTAACTTTTATCTCAGAATTCTAACTTTAGTCTCAGAATGCTAACTTTAATCTCAGAATTCTAACTTTAGTCTCAGAATGCTAACTTTAATATCAGAATTCTAACTTTAGTCTCAGAATTCTAACTTTAATCTCAGAATTCTAACTTTAGTCTCAGAATGCTAACTTTAATCTCAGAATTCTAACTTTAGTCTCAGAATTCTAACTTTAATCTCAGAATTCTAACTTTAGTCTCAGAATTCTGACGTAAATCTCAGGATTCAAACTTTAGTCTCAGAATTGTGACTTTAGTCTCTGAATTCTGACTTTGGTCTCAGAATTCTGACTTTTTTCTCAAAATTCTAACTTTAGTCTCAGAATTCAAACTTTAGTCTCAGGATTCAAACTTTAATCTCAGAATTCTAACTTTTGGTCTCAGAATTGTGACATTAATCTCAGAATTCTAACTTTAGTCTCAGGATTCTAACTTTTGGTCTCAGAATTGTGACATTAATCTCAGAATTCTAACTTTTGGTCTCAGAATTGTGACATTAATCTCAGAATTCTAACTTTTGGTCTCAGAATTGTGACTTTAGTCTCAGAATTCTAACCTTAGTCTCAGAATTCAAACTTTAGTCTCAGGATTCAAACTTTAATCTCAGAATTCTAACTTTTGGTCTCAGAATTCTAACTTAAGTCTCAGAATTCTGACTTAAGTCTCAGAATTCTGACTTTAGCCTCAGAATTCTGACTTTAATCTCGGAATTCTAACTTTGGTCTCAGGATTCAAACTTCAATCTCAGAATTCTAACTTTGGTCTCAGAATTGTGACGTTAGTCTCAGAATTCTGACTTTTATCTCAAAACTCTAACTTTAGTCTCACAATTCTGACTTTAGTCTCAGAATTCTGACTTTAGTCCCAGAATTCTAACTTTAACCTCAGAATTCTAACTTTAGTCTCAGGATTCAAACTTTAACCTCAGAATTCTAACTTTAGTCTCAGGATTCAAACTTTAATCTCAGAATTCTAACTTTGGTCTCAGAATTGTGACGTTAATCTCAGAATTCTGACTTTTTTCTCAGAATTCTAACTTTAATCTCAGAATTCTGACTTTAGTCTCAGAATTCTGACTTTAATCTCGGAATTCTAACTTTGGTCTCAGAATTGTGACTTTTTTCTCAGAATTCTAACTTTAGTCTCAGAATTCTGACTTTAGTCTCAGAATTCTGACTTTAATCTCGGAATTCTAACTTTGGTCTCAGGATTCAAACTTTAGTCTCAGAATTCTAACTTTTTTGTCAGAATTCTAACTTTAGTCTCAGGATTCAAACTTTAGTCTCAGAATTCTAACTTTTTTCTCAGAATTCTAACTTTAGACTCAGAATTCTGACTTTAGTCTCAGAATTCTGACTTTAATCTCGGAATTCAAACTTTAGTCTCAGAATTCAAACTTTAGTCTCAGAATTCTAACTTTAGTCTCAGAATTCTAACTTTAGTCTCAGAATTCTGACTTTTTTCTCAGAATTCTAACTTTAGTCTCAGAAATCTAACTTTAGTCTCAGGATTCAAACTTTAGTCTCAGAATTCTAACTTTTTTCTCAGAATTCTAACTTTAGACTCAGAATTCTGACTTTAGTCTCAGAATTCTGACTTTAATCTCGGAATTCAAACTTTAGTCTCAGAATTCTAACTTTAGTCTCAGAATTCTAACTTTAGTCTCAGAATTCTGACTTTAATCTAACAAACCTGTTAGCATCAAGCCGTAGCCATGTCTGTTTTAGAGACTAAACTAGCTCTCTTGTTTTAATCACCTTTTGCTCTTCCAATGAAGAAACAGCATCACCAGGGACCCCTCGGGACATAAAAGGTCACATAATTCCATCATTTCCCACCAATGTGTTACTGCCGCTGCCAAACAACTCACATCTTCAGTGAAGCTGAGTGCTCCCACATCTCTTCCTTCTTGGTGCCCATCTAAGATCCAGAATTCTGGTTTAAAAAAAGTCAGAATTCTGAGATTAAAGTCAGAATTCTCACTGTTATCCAATATTAAACTAAAATAATATTTAAAAAAACAGTAAACTTTTTTTTTTTTCAGTGGCCCTAATCCTCTTCCATAGAAATACTTCCAGTTTACCTCAAATTAAGATTGTTTGAATTTGTCTTTTTTATTGTATGAGGTTTAATGTTTTGTTGGGATTTAAACCATAAAGCCTCCAAATTGTGAAAAAACAAAAAACATGCTAAATTCTTTTCAGGTTAAAAACGGCCGTATCTATTATCTCAGTTTATCTAGATGAGCTTCAGGAATCCAAGGATAGTTTTATGGTAACCAGTAAATCTGGACAGCTGCTGAACATTTTCAAGCCAGGTCAAAAAAATGCATTGCTTTCCACAACTTTCATTTAATGTTCCTTTTACAAATCCTGTGTGAAATGCAAGCTTTTTTGCGCATACTATTCAGAGAGCCGAATACAAATTAACCCACAGATTTATTCCAGAAAACAGTTCAAAAACAATAATTTCCTCTGTCTTCTATATATTCTATGCACATTTTTCTTCCTTAGAAACATTCTTCATCTTTGAGTATTTGAGCTGATGTAGCGAGTTCATTTCTCCACTGTGAGATCAATAAAGTCAATCAATCAATAGGTTTTATTTTTATAGACTGTCTTTTATTTGTCAAACATTTTAAATCCTTGAAAAATGCTATGATGTCTGTTGCTGTAAAACCATGGAAAGCTGTTCCAGTAAACGGTATAAATGTCGGAAAGGAATTGTCGATTCAAACAGGAAAAAAACTGACTCTGTTGAGAGATTTAGAGTTCATCCACAATTCCGGTATTTTGGTTTGAAATCAGTCTTAAAATGACAGAACATCAACCGTATCAGTCACTCCCGCTGTCGCTGTCATCATCATCATCGTCTTCCTCCACTTCTTCCTCTTCTTTTTTCTCAGTTTCCTCTACAAGTCCAGAGAAGAAGTCGTTGTCGCCGAGGGCCTTCTTGCTGAGCGACCTCATGCGCCCGTCTTTCTTCTTCCTCTTGCGGTAATCATTAACGGTCAGTTTGGGCAATCCGGAAATGTCCCAAAACTTGATGAGCTGGTCGTGGGCACAGCTGACCAGGAAGCGGGAATCCCAGGATTTGGCGATCTCTTCGACAGGTTCGCCGACGTGCTGCCCGATGCACCCGATGACCCGGTTGGGAAGGAGGTTGATGGCTCTGAGGGAAGATGACAGGGAAGGCGAGTTAGTGAGGACTGACGGGTTAATTAGGGAATCTTCTAGGAAGTTGATTCATATCCAACAGAAGTTAGCCAGGAAGAACCCCAACGTACCGGATGTATCCGTCCATGGACGCCGTGCACATGATGTTTTCGGTTATTGGCGCGATGCAGTCCACGGACTCCGCCTTGAGGGCGAAGCGGTCGCTGGTGGCCCCGAAGCCGTTCCAGTTGAAGATGTAAACCGTCCCCTCGCTGGAGCCACAGACCACCTTCTTACCCCGCTTCATCACCGCCACGGAGGTCAGGTCGCCGCTCTGGCACTCAGACAGCAGCTCAAAGCGCCGACGCTTGAGGTGGAAGACGCCCATGGTGCCGTCCCCACTGTAGACCCAGCGGTCACATCAGGAAAGGCGGTTAGACTTCCACAGTTTAAGAGACAGCAATCGGTTCTGTTCCTGAAACCAAATACTGGAGAAAACAGACTTCCCTGCTAGAACACATAGATCCTAAACTGTGCAGGAGCATCTCCAACAGTGATAAAGACCAAGAAGAAAGTGGCACACACCTGGCTGTGAGCAGAATCCTCTTGTTCTGGTCTACGGTGATGTCACTGATGTAATCCTCATGGTTTTTCATATCCATGATGGCCGTCCCCTTCCTCATATCCCACACCTGTAAAGCAAATGTTACGTTTGCTTAACGTTACGTTAGCTGAGATCAATCTTTATTTTGAGTTTACAGGAAGGGAAAACGCAGATATTTCTGTGCGGTTTGACCTCTAGTTTACACCAAAACTCTTTAACAACAGAAAATTGTATTCTCTAAAACCCCCGGCCATCGTGGAGATTTCTGATAACGCCGGTTATATGCCGCCATGTACATAGGGGTAAAGAGCGTTTTAGCTTCTTGAACGTCGCATTATGTGGCAGAAAATCCTTAACGTCACGCGAGCGCCTGATGTTTACAGTTTTTATGGCGGTCGACAGCGTATTTATGCGGGTTGATGTAAATGACGATATAATTGAAAACAGGGGGGGAAATATTCACTTCTCTAAATAGCAGGCTACCTGTAAATGTGGGTTTAATTTGGAATTCATACAGTGAAGGAGTTTCCCTGAACAGGAACAAGCTGCAAAGTCGGACTGACTTTGGTTTCGGACCTTTTCTCCTGCTCAGTGGCTTAAAACCTTTATGTGGGACTGGTTCAATAGAAATGGATCGTCACTGAATAAAAAGCAAATCTCGACCAAAGAAGGTTTTCCTTGCTTCAGCACGCATGCTACATTCATCTGTCTCTCAGGGGTCGATCAGATGTTTGATGGTCGTCTGTCCCATATACCCCATTTACACTACCCTTGAAAAACCGTGCCGAGACCGGTCCGAGCTCAGTAACTGAGATAACTTATCGTGTGTAAATGGAAAGCAAACTGAACTGAACCGAGATAGACACAACCGAACCGTTTTTTCGAGTGTAACTGCAGACCAGTTCCAGAGATTGGCTCGGCTCAGTTTTTCCCTGGCTCGGTTCTCTGATAACAAGAGCGCATGAGCAGAACGCGTCATCTCCGTCTGGCTGCACAGCCCGATTCACACTCCATTCCAGTAGTTGGCGGTAATGCCCCTCCGGAAGTTGCTTGCCAACCAACACAAAACAGAAGAACAACAACTATAAACAGCAATCGAAATCTTCTCCACGCCACATTTTGATTTTCTTGATTCCCTCCTTCTTCTTCGTCTTCTTCTTCTTGTGTTTAATGGCGGTTGGCAAACAACTTTTGGTGCATTACCGCCACCAACTGCTTGATTTCCTCCTTTAATACTGGCAGTAATACCGCAGATCGTCACTAGGAGGCGAGGAGTCGAGAAACCGAGATAGCGTGATGTGTAAACGGTCATCAGAACCGAGCTCAGCCTGGTTAACTGATCCGAGCTCGGACCGGTCTCGGCATGGATCGGTTTTTCAAGGGTAGTTTAAATTGGGTAATAACGTGTCTAAAGTTGTAGGAAAGTCATATTTAAATGTTAAATAATTCTGGCTTAAACGTGTATATAAATGTAATCTTTATCAGACCATATTGTCCCAAACTTTAGAAAATTTCTATAAAAAAAAAAATCCTGTCTTAAAATCAGTTTTTTTTTTCTTTGTTATCTTCTGCAGACCAGTCAGTTATACATCAGCCTGAATTCGGCCAATCATATATCAAAAGTCATTTGTCACATTTTTTCGGTCATAGCATCTTGATTAATATGTCGCAGCTAATATACGCAACAGTTGAAATCAGAATCCTTTCCTTTCCCACTGAGTTCCGTCCCAGTGTTCACGGGGATGGACGTCTGTGTCTTCAGCAGGCGTAGAGCTAACAGAACTGGCAGCGTTGCGAGGCAAGGGCTCAAACATGTACGGCTGGAAGCCTTCTACACCAAACCAAGCTTCTGCCGCCCTGGCGTCCTCTTCCACAACATCTTCGTCCCCGCTTTCCTCCTCTAAATAAAAAATGGATGACGGAGGAGACTCATCCACGACCTCCGACACTAAACTCTCCTCCTCTTTCATGTTTCCTCTGTCCATAGCGTTCCTTGACAGCGTCGTTTCTAAGTCACCAATTTAGTGCTACTTGGTCCCAATGGAATTTCCCATTGGGAACCTACTAGCACTAAGTTGCTAACTGGTTAGCAAGATGCTTCCAACAAACCGGTCACAACCAAAATGCTTGTGAACCTTCCGCCACAACGATCCCGCCCCCTTGATAAACGACCAATCACACTCACTTTATTCACTCGTGTAAAGTCGGGCACCAATCGGGAGAATTTAGAAATGCAACGTTTGGAACGGCCGCTTCCCTACGACTTTAACAGGAAACCCTGAAGCAGAACATCCTACCATCAGCCTGCAACCTCAAGCTCAACTGCAGGAGCAAAATCCGAAGCATAACTCTGAATGGCTCAAAACAATTAATGAAAGTGTTTGAAGTGGCCTAGTCAAAGTCTAAATTATAATTACATTGAATGCTTTCAGGGAAAGCACATCATGCTGAAAGTCACACATGGTGGTGGAAATATGATGGTCGTGATTAATTTACTGCATCCATGTCTCTTAAAGGCGCTGGGAAGCGGCAGTGCCAATGCAGACGTCCATCCCCGTGAACACTGGGACGGAACTCAATGGGAAAGGAAATGATTCTGATTTCATATTTCAACCGTTGCGTATATTAGCTGCGACATATGAATCAAGATGCTATGACCAAAAAAACTGATTGACAGATGACCGTTGATATATGATTGGCTGAATTAGGTGTTCAGGCTGACGTATAACTAACTGGCCTGTATAAGATAAAAAAAAGAAAAAGAAAAAAAAGATTTTAAGAGAGAATTTTGTTTTTTTATAGAAATTTTCTAGATTTTGGGACAATATGGCCTAAAAAGGGTACATTTATATACAGGATTAAGCCAGAATGATTTGACATTTAAATATGACTTTCTTACGATTTTAAAGCGACAATTACTTTACCACATAAGGCCATGATTAATAAGAGAATATAAAATATAGCTTAATAAATCCTCGCTCTATTTGTCCGCATATAAATTCTGTTCAATAATCTGAAATATTAAATATAAATAAGAACAGAGAAATTCCTTTTGGAGGCCATAAGTTGTTCTAATCGCCCCTCATATCCAGACCTTCAGTGTGCCTCCATCATCTCCAGTTGCCAGGATGTTTTCATCCACCAGGAGCAGGCTGTTGATGGGGGCCCCGTGGGCCCCTCGGATCCGTGTCACCAGCTGCCCTCGCTCCATGTCCAGCATGTGGACGGCCTTGTCCCGGGAGACGCTGTACAGCTTCAGGCCGTCCGCTGAGATGCGCACCTGGCGGCAGGACTTCAGGTGGTGTCCGGAGGACCACAGCTCCCGGTTCTCTCCCTCCGTGCACGAGTAGGAGAACGCGTACACGTCGCCGTCCACGTCCCCGCAGACCAGGACGTCCCTGCTGGGGTGAAGCGCCACAGTGTTGGCGATCGCCTCCAACTGGATGTCCTGAGGAGTTTCCCGGATCTTTGGACCGGGAGGTTCTTCCTCCTCCTCCTCTTCATCTTGTTCTAGTTCTTCCGACTCGAACTCTGATGTCCCAGATGTTTTATTGGTTTCTTTAGCTCCTGTTGGGACGCTTTCAGGGGGTTCTGTCTGTTCAGAAGCGGAGTCAACGTGCTCCGCGGGCGCTGCCATGTTGTTTTGCTCCGTTTCCTCTTCCACAGATATATAGAAGCGGATCCGAATAAATGGCTGGATACTGGCCTCTAAAGGACATGTAAGGTACTGCATGTCCAAAAATGAAACTTTACGAAGCCAAATCAAAGAAACTTACGGAAGAGGATTAGGGCCACTGAAAAGAAACAAAACAAAATCACTGATTTTCAAATTTTATTTCAGTTTAACATGGGAAAAAAGTCAGAATTCTGACTTTAATCTCAGAATTCTGACTGAATTCTGACAATAAAAAAAAAGTCAGAATTCTGACTTTAATCTCAGAATTCTGACTGAATTCTGACAATAAAAAAAAAAGTCAGAATTCTGACTTTAATCTCAGAATTCTGACTGAATTCGGACAATAAAAAAAAAGTCAGAATTCTGACTTTAATCTTAGAATTCCGAGAAAGAAGTCAGAATTCTGAGATTAAAGTCAGAATTCAGACTTTTTTCCCATACTATACTGAAATAAAATACAAAAAATCAGTTTTCTTTTTGTTTTTTCAGTGGTCCTAATCCTCTTCCGTAGAAACTAATGACACAAACAGTCACAAAGTTTTAATTCCAAGAGTTAATATTGTTATAATTCTGAGCAGGGGTGGATTTAGGAAATATGGGGCCCTAAGCAAAGACAGGCAGGGGGCCCTCTGACATTTTAATAGAACAGACATCCATTATTTGTTCTAGGTTGTGTCCCTCTCTTCTTGTCCCTTTTCTTCTTGTTTTCCTCTCTATGTTTTGTACTCAGCTGACTTTTCATGCTGTCTCTAAAGGAATGAAAGATTTTTTTTCAAGCACTAAGCTCCTTCCTGTGTTTCCAAAAGGGTGATGTTAAAGTAAATAACCCAGTCCTTCTTTTCACTGTAGACAAGCCATGATCTGCTTATCTGCTCTCCATTTTTCATTTGGATGAAATAATAGCTGCAGGAATCATGACAGCACAGTGATACAAAGTCAATTTCTCATGACGATATACGTCGGAACAGAAGCAGTAACTGATTGGACACATTCAACCTTCTACTTTTGCAGTTTTCTTTAAGAATGATTTAAAAATTGATGTGATGCACTTTTAGCTGTAGACGTGTTGAGGTCAGATCAGTGTCCATCTGCTAGATCTACAGTGTTTATTCCTTTGAACACCACTCTGGCCTCATGTGAAAACACTGGCCCCACTCCACCCCCCTGGTAAGTGTGGTCTTAAACCACTGATCATTTTTTTCCCCTTTTGATGTACAGAGAGCATTCAGTACAAGACAGGTATCAATATACATTGAAAAAATCCATAAATACATTCAATAAAGTACATAAATTAGGTGCATTATCAGAGCAATAGATCTTGATGATGTGTTGTTTAAATTCCACTTGAAAAGGCTAAAGAAAAGATGCCTGTGATTTGCGCATGTGGTATTTCCCTAAGAGAAATATATTTGGTTTATAACGTGAATTTCTTTTTGCTGTACTTATACACTGCAAAAACAATGTAGAAATACGTAAACATTTCTTAAATTGAGCGTATTTACCCCTAATTTGAGTAGAAAAATAAGATGATTTGCCAGTGGAATGAGTATATTTACTCTAAAATAAGATAAATACATAATATGCACTTGAAATAAGACAATTCAGTTGTTTTTTTTCTTATTTTAATTTTAAATGCTCTTGTTCCGTTGGCAAAGTTTCTCTCTTACCTCCTCAATTCAAGAAAAAATTCACTTATTTTAAGAAAAAAAATACTTATTGAGATTTCAGTTTTTTCCAGTGTATTATTGTGGATTTTAAACAGTAGACTTTTCCAACACCAGTCAGTTTTTATTTGAACATGGAACACCTCTAGCCAGAAGGTGGCAGTGGTGTGACATGAGTGACAGAACAGGTCTATCAGTTTCAGGTACTTCTAAGCTAGTTGTGAAGAAATTTCCTGAGTAGAGAAGGAAATAGTAACAACGAAGAAGATTGGAAGAGAGTAGAAAAAGTAGAGATCAGTTGAAGGAGAGTCCAGTTCAGAACAATCAAGTGATGAACCATTTAGAAATTTCATGGAAAAACTAAATGACTACAAAGTCATATTCAAACTAGTTAATCAGACAGACTCTTTGCAGATTAACAAAATCGATAAACAAATTTGTAGGAGAAGTCCAAGGTGCCAGAATACTCTATGGGGACCTATTAATCACCTGCAGAGACAGGCAACAACAAGGCAAAGCCATACAAATTAACAAGATGGAGGGAAAAAGATTTCAGTGCTGCTTGATGGAGAACAAAAAGATCAGCAGGGGAGTCATTGGAGGAGTTCCTCTAAAAGTTTCTGAAAAAAAGATTCTAGAAAACATAACTGGTGTAACAGTAAAAGAAGTGAAAAACAACAAGAAATGGATAAAGGTGTGACAACTTATCTTTGTTAATCAAATTTGAAGAAGGTTTTCATTGGTTATATGAGCTACAATGTGAAAATGTACAATCCTCCGCCTCTGATATGTTATAAATGCCAAAATGTGGTCATATAGCAGCAGTATGCAAAGGAAAACACGATGTGGAAGGTGTGCTGGAGAGCATGAATATGGAAAGTGTGATAAAGAAGGTTAAAATGAAATGCTGCACTGCAAAAACAATCCAGAAATAAGTAAAAAATGGCTTAAATTAAGTATATTTAGCCTTAATTTGAGCAGGTAAATAAGATGATTTGCCAATGGAATGAGTATTTTTACTCTTAAAATAAGATAGTTAGATAATATTTACTTGAAATAAGACGATAAAATAGTTTTTTCTTATTTTAAAAGGAAATTGTCTTGTTCCATTGGCAAAGTGTCTTACTTACCTCCTCAAATCAAGGAAAAACACACTTATTTTAAGAAAAAATAACTTATTGAGATTTCTATTTTTTGCAGTGTGTAAATGTGGTGGAGATCATACTGCTGCATATCATGACTGTAAAGTGAGCAAAAGATCTGAAGAGATCACAAAAGTGAAATTAGAGGTCGGAATAAGTTATGCTGAAGATGAAAAAATAACTCCTTCCCAGTCAGAAAGACCCAAAGTTAAACAAATGTCAAGTTCGAAACCTCTGGAGGAGTGTCCCAACACTGCAAAAGACTCATTGGTTCTTAAAAAGGAGGATTTTGTCCTTTTTATGGAGGGTAACCAATTGTAATGCTCAGATGACAAAGAAAACCGAAAAAAAAAATCAAAAATATTGTGAAAGCTGCAAAAAAGTATGTTGACATTTAAAACGAAAATTAGTAGGACCATCAGAAACTGGCAGTGTGACATAAGCATAAAGAAAGACTAGTAATCATGAAGAGAATTTGATTATGTGTTTCATTATGCTGGGTTAAAACACACAGTTTGGAAAACTATTATTATTATTTTTTTTTTTTTATTCTTGGATGAGTCTTGGTTCCTGTTTCCTTGTTAAACTCCTTATCACTTGGTGGCGGCAATGCACTTTTTACCAACCGCCATAAAACCTTAGAAGAAGAATAATCTCCTAATGAGCTAAATTGCAGTGTATTGTGCAAAGGATTGTGGGAACTCAGGGTAGTTCATCAGTTCCCATCATCACTGAGCAGCTGAGATAATAGAATTATATTGTTACCAAACCAAGAGCTGGAGATGAATAGATGTACTCATTGATTTGATGTCCAAACAATTCTAAATGTGTTGTTGAGAGCTACCAGATAGTTGGTTTGGTCCTTTTTCAGCAATTTTATTTTAATTAAAGAAAAAGAAAAGACATATTGAACAGCATATATATATATATATATATATATATATATATATATATATATATATATATATATATATATATATATATATATATATATATATATATATATATATATATATAGAATTAGTAGTATTATTTTGCTATAGTTGTTTACAACTATATACTGACGTAAGAAATTGCTTGGACGTGATTGGCCGCTTTTACGCTGAATGAAATGACGCGGTTATGAGGCAAGGACGCTAAAGATGGCGTGAGTTTTAAACCGTCTCCAGATAATAGTTACGGTAAGTGGTTCTGACAGTTTACAGACGGTAAATTACTTGCTTTATTTTTTGTTTTAACGTACAGGAAGCGGTTGGAGGTCGTTTTGCTTTTGAACGAATGTGCTAGAAGCTAAAAAAGATACTTTAATTTCCCAAACAGACCCACTAAGTCCCTTTGTTATCATTTTAGTTCACTTTTCCTCAACTACTATCTGAAAAACCTTACATTTATACCAATTGGTTTACGTGTGGAAACGTTATATTATTTATTTTAAGCGCTAATGTGTTGTTATATGTAATGGACGCATCTAACCCCGCATCAGTTACAGCACCGCGTAGTGGGAAGCTGTTATTCAGAAGCAACAAAGTTAAATTTAATAGTAGGAGAAGGTTTCAAACCTTTTATCACGGCCGAATTAAACAAAGGATGAGAAGTATTTAGAATACTCGTCGCTTTTTGTTGTAGACCGTCTATAACCTAAATTATCTGTTGATCCATCCTTACTGGACAGATTTATGAATGGAAATCGGTGCAGATCGACGCTCAGTGTTGACGTTCTGCTGGCAGGGTAACCGCGGCCTCAGCTGATCCTGGTACTGCCTCCTGGCTCACAGATGGTTGGAAACTGGAATCCACATTGAATCACCTACATGTGAGTAATAATGGAACTGTTTTAGCTTCTAGATATAATACCTAGACTAAAACTGACAGTTTAAGTGATTAGATTGACCTCTATTTAGTATGGTTGTCTCCATATTATATAGCTGGCATTCAGGACAAACAACCATACAAACACAGAGGTGGAAGGAAACCAGAGTAACCTGAGAGAACCCATGCATGCAAGGGGAGAAGATGCAGACTTCCTGCACAAAAAGAGACCAGATTAGGGCTCTAACAACCTCAAGGCCACAATAAAAACCACCTTACTCCCAAATATGTTAAATCTACTTAGTTGTTCTTTATGTTTCTTATTTTCTTAGATGATTTTTCACTATTTCCTCTCATTTTTCCCCTATATAGGAGCCTTTTCCTTCCTTTTTTTAACATAGTTATTAAACGAACCGCCTCTCACTTTCTTTTTCTGTTCGATCTAGGGATGCACGATATAATCGGCCCCCTATCGGTGTCGGCCTTAAAACTGAATATCGGACATCGGCCACCCCACCGATATTTAACCCGATATTTGATCAGCTTCTGAGTTTCTAAAGTCTAAAAAAAAAAAAAAAAAAACTACTTCTTCCTCAAAAACTTCTTTTTTACAGACTTAAAAACTTCTAAAGACGAGGGAAAAATATTGATACATAAAAATATCACAATATCTTCATATGCTGATATATTGCCATTTAAAAACACCATATCAATCTCTTTTACTAATGAAATATTGCTATATGTCATCGTTATGCTACGAAATCCCCCGAAAATTTACGAAATGTTGCCATATTTTTATATGTTGCTATATTGACGCGGTATCGATCTATTTTACTAACAAAATCTCACAAGAATTTGCAAAATATCACAAGAGTTTGTAACAGAACGATGAAATTTCACGAGATTGTGAAAGTAAAATAGATCGATACCGCGTTTTTAAAAATCTATTTGATATATGCGTATGAAAATATATTTGAGTATATTTTTCAAAGTGTCAGAAATGGATAACAAAACTGCTATTTTCAATGACTACTTATTTTTGTCCAGCTTTAACATCGGTATCGATATCGGTTATCGGCTACATGAGTTTTAAAATATCGGCATATCGGATATCGGCCAAAATCCCAATATCGTGCATCCCTAGTTCGATCATATAGTTCCAGTGCAGTAAAACAAAACCCTTTATATTTTCATACAAAACAATAGAATACATTCAGCTTGAAGTAACGGAATAGCAACAAAATGTCTTCTGTTGTAACATAAAAAGTTGAAATTATAAAGTTAGAAATGCAAGCTTATGAACAGGATAGTTTTTCACCCCTATTAGGGATTAATGCTTTTGAGATTGTAAAGCATCATAGCATCAAGCATCATCTATTGATCATTGCAATATAGGATATTAGTTTATATAAAATGGACTAAAACGCTCTACTATTACAATAGGTAAAACTATGTTGAAGTTCTATGTTGTTGTCTCTGCTGCTTATTTTCAAGCAACCATCCAGTTTCAGGTTATATATGTCATATTTAAATATTCATCTGTCCAGAGCTCAGGGTTGTACTGTGACTTGTTTCTGCGTAACCAAACTCAGCAGTTCACAGTTCCTGAAAACTGCCAAACTCGACTATGCATATATTGTCCAGCTATAGTCCATTGAAAATATTCTCCATGAAAAAGTGCTCTGATGTAGAAGAAAGAAGAAGGACAAAACAGAAAAAACAAAAGCTGTTCTAACATCCCCAGAACCAGGCAACAGTACGTTGTCCTATCTGGACCCCTATGGAGGACAAACTCTGCCATATTTAAAAATAAATACAGAAATAAATAGCATTGAAGAAATAAAAAGGATTAAAAAAATACAAAGGAAGAATAAACCAGACGATTATGAAGATTATAACAGACAATAAATAAGTTAATTATTACAAAGGCGAATAAATAAAGAAGCTAATTAAACAAGATTAATACATTTATGTCTCACTGTATAATTTAATTTCTACCTACATTTATTTGTTTATTGTATTTTGGGGGGCATTCAATGAATGCTTATTTATTGAGCATTTATTCATTTGTAAATATGGCAGAGTTGGCCCTCCATAGACCCTGACCAGATCTGAAAACATGCAGGAAACATAATATCTTCCCATATGTGTTATATCTAATAAACTATCGTATTAAGTCTGCAGTTCCATCTGATTTGTTGATTGCAGCATCAGGTGACGTAATTCAGGTGTTCTCATTGGTTGGTGCATAAAATGTATGGTTACACATCCCCATACTTAGACATGTAGCTTCTGTAATGCTAATTTTAAATCAGCTTGCAGTTAAAAAGGCAAGTTTCAGATCCTGGGCCTGATGTTTATGCACAATTAACTCATTAAGTCTTCATTAAAATCGCTTATATTGAAAGATGTCATCATCTGGTTTAAACATTCACACAGAAAATGTTCTTTTTGTTTTTGCTACTTTATAATTCCCAAAGGTTAAAGTTTCAGGTTGTTTTCCCTTTAATGTTATGCTAATTCAAACTGACCAGACTATTTATATAAAAAAAAACAGTCTAATTTATAACACAGTAAAACATCCCTAAGTCATCTAAGACTAACCTCAGCCGCCGAAAATATGAAGAATATTTAGCAGAATGTTCCAAACTGTTTTAAAATTCTTTCCATATTTAACCTCTATGTTACTTCATGTTCAGAACACATCTGCAGTAGGAATGCGCCCAGGAGCGACGGATCGGAGCAGACAGCCCAGCCGTCGCAAGAGAGCAGAGCGGCGGGAGGCTGAGAGGAGGACGGACCTCAGAGTCGGTGACCAGGGCTCCAAAGAGGAGAACACAGGGTACGGTGAACCCAGACTCAGTCAGAGCACCAAATACCTGCTGTCTAAAGTAGCAATATGTCTAAGTCTAACAGCTTTACATCACCATGTCACCAGGTGACTATGAACCAATTCAAGCACTGAGGAAATGCTTAGAAGAAATCTATGCCTGAATGGGCCATCATTTTCTTCAACTGAATAAAAACAAAACTGAAGTAATAATCTTTGGACCAATAGAGGAGAGATCTAAAGTTAGCACACAGCTTCAATCGCTTCAGCTAGTAACCACTGATCAGGCCCGAAGTCTAGGTGTGGTGCTGGATTCAGACTTGAACCTCCAAAAGCATTTAAAGACAATTACAAGGTCGGCTTTCTATCACCTGAAGAACATTTCCAGGATTAAAGGACTAATGTCTCAGCATGATCTGGAAAAACTAATCCATGCGTTTATTTTTAGTCGAATTGATTACTGCAACGGTGTTTTCACAGGTCCGCCTAAAAAGTGGATCAGACAGCTGCAGCTCATCCAGACTAGGGATGCACGATATTGGGATTTTGGCCGATATGCCGATATTTTAAAACTCATGTAGCCGATAACCGATATCGATACCGATTTTAAAGCTGGACAAAAATAAGTAGTCATTGAAAATAGCAGTTTTGTTATCCATTTCTGACACTTTGAAAAATAATATACTCAAATATATTTTCATATGCTGTTATCAAATTGATTTTTAAAAACGCGGTATCGATCTATTTTACTTTCAAAATCTCGTGAAATTTCATCGTTCTGTTACAAACTCTCGTGATATTTTGCAAATTCTTGTGAGATTTTGTTAGTAAAATAGATCGATACCGCGTCAATATATCAACATATAAAAATATGGCAACATTTGGTGAATTTTTAAATAAAATGTATTATTATTATTATTATTATATAGCAATATTTCATTAGTAAAAGAGATTGATATGGTGTTTTTAAATGGCAATATATCAGCATATGAAGATATTGGGATATTTTAATGTATCAATATTTTTTCCCTCGTCTTTAGAAGTTTTTAAGTCTGTAAAAAAGTTTTTGAGGAAGAAGAAGAAGTAGTGTATTTTTTTTTTTTTTTTTGACTTTAGAAACTCAGAAGCTGATCAAATATCGGGTTAAATATCGGTGAGGTGGCCGATGTCCGATATTCAGTTTTAAGGCCGATACAGGCCGATACCGATAGGGGGCCGATTATATCGCGCATCCCTAATCCAGAATGCTGCTGCCTGTGTCCTCACTAAGGCTAAGAAAGTAGAGCACATCACCCCGGTTCTAAAGTACTTCCACTGGCTCCTGTATCTCAGAGAATAGACTTTAAAATACTTCTGTTAGTCTATAAATCCCTGCATGGCTTAGCACCTAAATACATCACAGACTTGCTATCAGTGTATCAACCCTCCAGACCACTCAGGTCTTCTGGCTCCAGCCTGCTCTGCATACCTAGAACCAGAACTAAACATGGAGAAGCAGCATTTAGTTCCTATGCTCCACTTATCTGGAACAAACTTCCAGAAAACTGTAAAAGTGCGGAAAGCCTGAGTTCCTTTAAATCAAGACTAAAAACACATTTGTTTAGGATTGCCTTCAACTGTTCTAGTTAAACAGTTCAACTAAAACATGTTTTCTTTAGTCCAACTGTTTTTTATATTCTTTTTTGTTTCTTCATTTTATTTTATTTATTTATTTTGTTTCTTACTTGCCTTGATTCTGTTTTATTTTCCTGTATTTTAATCATGTAAAGCAGTTTGCATTGTCTTTGTACTGAACTGTGCTATACAAATAAATCTGCCTTGCCTTGCCTTAAGTGAGGAAGATAGGGTTGGACGATGTATAGGCATAAACATCAGTATGATTCTGATAGATAAAACTGGGCACAGCTGTTTGTTTCCACCCAGGTTCTGTTTTTCTTTCAAAGAAAGGGGCGATCTGATTGGTCGTGTGTTTCGTTATTTTCCAGTGGTAGTGATGCAACAAAGGACCACTGTGGGTGTTAATCTAAAGCAGGGAACCAACATCAGCACTGCTGTCAGTGTTTTGTGGAGTCAAAAGGGGAGGGATCTTTAAAGGAAACAGTATCGATTTATCAGCTATCATTTTTATTGGTGATCAGTATTGGCCCACATTTTCATTTCCGTATATCTCTGTTAGTAACAAAGGCTTGTAGCGCAAACAAAAATGAACCATAAATATTTCTCGCTTTATTCCATCATATCAAAGTAATCAAACCAAGAATGTAAAGAAATATGTTCAGATTTAAAAAGAATATAATACAAAGAATATTATAGGGAAAGTCTTTAATAGAAGGTTGGATAAATAAACTGGAATTTTCCTTTTTATTTCAATTACAGACTATTTACAAAGTTCTAAAAATAATGAAAACAGACTCCTCTCTTCAGGGTCGTCAACCCCATAAGTCGCCAAGAGAAGCAGCTGGGAGGAAGAGAAGAGCGGGAGGAGAAGGAGGAACGAGTGATGGAAAGGAGGGCGTCCTCAGAGGGACGGGAAAGCAGCGACAAGTCGAGAGAGCTGAGATGGAGGCTCAACCAGCTGGAGAAAGAGAAACTGAGGCTGACATCCTGCTACAACCAGGAGGTAAACCTACATGCTTTAAAAAGTTCGGTCTAGGTAACTGGATGAGAAGGTTTCTAGAAGACGATTCGTCTCTCATCCAAGAGGCTTCTTCAGATCTAACTAGTGGTGGGGAGCACTGAGATTAACATAAGGTAGGTCTAGAGGGCTGGTTATCCTCCTGCAGCAGGGGGTCGCAGTGATCTTGATGCAGATATTTTCATTTATGCCCAATATTTAAGTGTGGTCTGCGCTATGTTATTCCACGCCACAACGCAAGAGGGACGATCAGGAACTAGCTGTGGCTCTACAGCCGAGGCGGGGAGGAGGTGGGAGCAAGTTTGTGCGACAATGGAGGGACATGAGGGCCAAAAAGAGCGGTGATCCAGGTGGAAAAATGGTCCCAGCGTTCGTGCACCTCTGTTACTACCCTAGTTCAAGGGGTAGGAACAATGATGGGGAGATCACACAAAAGAATGGTTTATCCATTTATGAAAGTAAATAAACGTGTTAGTGTAGGTCAGTGGTGCATGTAATGTTGGGGTGCATGAGGTGTGTGAAAGTGTACATGGATCAAATTAAACTAAAACTGGAGCAGGAGGCCAGAGGACTCCATGGAGCGCAGAGAGAGCAAGCCATGTGCTCTGGTCCAATTTATAGGAGGCCACTGCAGGTGTGATACTCTCAGGTCCGCCCCCCACTTCCTGGAAGCACAAACCAGAGGAGCAGTCTCTCCACAATAATAGGCCTCGCTCTTCCAGCTGGTCCATCTTCACCAGTCATTTTCCACAATGGCGGTCAGACAATCGAAACAAGCCGGTAAGATACCGATAACAGGAAATACGCATAGTGTAAAGAAGATGTAGTTTTGACCAATCAGATGCCTCCTGTCTGCGGTCACCTACAATTTAGGAGAGGTGCAGCAGAGTGTCTGCGGAGGGGGCGGGGACGTCTCTGCGTTCACCTATAAATCAGCCTTATGCCAGAATTTCCACTAGATTTATGTGTTCGGAGATTAAGATCTATACAAACTCAAGTCCTGCACCTTTTATATGTGTCCCTGCTTCAACACACCTGAATTAAATAATAAGGGTCATCGGCAAAAAAAGCACAACTTGCATGCATGCGGGGTTGGTTATTAAGCCATTTGATTCAGGTATGATCAGGGACACATTTAAAAGTTGCAGGATCCCGGCCCTTGAGGACTTGAGTTTGACACCCCAATTAGAATAGCACAGATGTGAATTAAACAAGGAAAATTGGTTTCTGGCAAATAAATGTGGAAAAATGTATCATTGTAACAAGTTTATATTAAAATCTGTGCAGGTACCCATTATTATAGTGCTTTAATTTGATATACCGTATTTTCACGACTATAAGGCGTACTTAAACGTCTTTTTTTCCCCTCAAAATGTGCGGTGTGCCCTTTGGTGCGGTGCGCCTTATGTGTGTTGTAACTGCGACTTTTGAGACCACCTCATTGAGGAGATGATGAAAGAGTGGCTGAATGTAAGGAGACCAGGTGTTTTTTTTCCACTCATCACCATCGCTGTTAATATGTAACTCCATGCGTGACCATCTCACAGCTGATGTGAAAAACATGGGGAATCAAATTAACGCTGTGCTCGCTGTTCAACCTCTGGACATCGGTGTGAACCGGACCCAGCAGGTGCAGCAGAAGCAGCGAGTTTACATGCAAAGTCAATGGTTGACGCGCGTATAGGCGCAGCAAAAGGTCCCGCAGCAGCAGGTGCAGCACGTCGGGAAGCGTTTAAGCATCTGACGCACCGCCAACGCGCTGCTGCTGCTCGAGATGGAAAAATTGAAGTTTTGCTGCTGGACGCACCGCATCAACCAATCAGAGAAGCTGATCTGGGAGCTGACAGCGAGACAGACACAGCGCTCTGATGACATATGATATTAAATGAAAAGGGCTGGATGGATGAGGAGATGATGAAATCGTGGCTGAGGCAGGTGTATGTGAGGAGACCAGGCGGTTTTTTCCACGCATCACCATCGCTGCGTGCCCATCTCACAGCCGATGTGAAAAAAAGGTGAATCAAATGAACGCTGTGCTCGCCGTTATCCCGGGGGTCTGACAAAGGAACTTCAACTGCTCGACATCGGTGTGAAGCGGCCGTTCAAAGTAAGGCTGCGAGCGGCGTGGGAGCGATGGATGACCGACAGAGACCACAGCTTCAGGATAAGTGGAAGGCAGCGCCGGGCAAGTTACGCCACCGTTTGCGGATGGATTGTAGATGCTTGGACTAACGTGTCTGCTGGCTCTGTTGTTCAAGCTTTTGCAAAAGCCGGCATTATTTCTGAGGAGCCGCGCTGCACGGAAAGTGACTCTGACAGCGAAGAAGGGGAAATTGGCATGTCTGATTTAGCGCAGCTGTTTAATTCAGAAACAGAGGATGATGACTTTGATGGGTTTGATTAATACTTTGTAATAAATACATGAATAAAGCACAATCATACTCAGTTTTGCTCCCGCTCTATTTTTCTACCTGAAAGCTTAATTCAACAGCAGCCTCTGGGCGGGTCTCCTCCTCTTCACCGCGCTGGCTCGCAGTTGTTTTTTCATCTAAATAATCTAAATCTTGCAGCTATATTTGCTGTGATCAGTGGGAATAAAGTAGTTTTAATATGTTTTTAAGTGAGAAAGTCCACCTGAAAACTTAATAATTGCAGTCAGTTCATCCAGATTATCTATTTCTGTCTGAGGCGCTCAGACCCCCACATACCAGCGGTGCACCGACAGCAGAAATCCCTTCATCAGCAGCCTCTAGGCTGGGCAGCCTCCAGGTTCACCGCGGCTGCTGGCAGGTGTTTTTCATGTAAATAATTTAAACTGCAGGCACCAGGATACCGGTAATAAAAGCAAACATATTCCGTCGGCAGGTTTCAGGATTTTAAGTTAATTTAGGAGTGATCACAGCGCTGTGTCATCTGCGATGTGTCTGTCTCACAGCCAGCTCCCAGGTTTGATTAATACTTTGTAATAAATACATGAATAAAGCACAGTCATACTCAGTTTTGCCCCCGCTGTATTTTTAAATACGCAGTAGAGGTATTTAAAGGTAGTAGAGGACATGTACCTGTATATAAAAAACGCGCCCTATAGTCCGGTGCGCCTTATGTGTGTGTTAAATACAGAAATGGGACACATAACTGAGAGTGCGCCTTTTAGTACGGTGCGCCTTATGGTCGTGAAAATACGGTAATAGAAATTCAAATCTATGATTCATAGTGTTCCTAATAGCTGAAATTTGACCACCTCATGTTCTGGAGCTGTTCTAATATTACCATAATTTTTAAGTGATAAAAACGTGCGACACGCATGCAGACGACCTGGTTTCTGAGCATAAATCAGCCTTAAGTTTGTGAGTTTTTACATAAAAGAAGTGAGAAATTGAAGCTGCTCGAAGCAAAGTATAAGAAGCTGTAATGGCTGCAGTAAATATAGGTCACCATAACAATCGTTGCGAATATAAGCTGTGACATCAGAATCAAGATGCTATGACCCAAAAAACTTGATTGACAGATTACGGTTGATGTATCATTGGCCGAATTTAGGTGTTCAGGCTGACATATAACTAACTGGCCTGGATAAAATAACGAGAGAAAAAAAACAGATTTTAAGACAAGATTTTTTGAAAATAAAAATTTTCTAAATTTTTGGGACAATACGGTCTGATAAAGATTACATTTATATACATGTTTAAGCCAGAATGATTTGACATTTAAATATGATTTCCCTATGACTTTAAGGGAGCATCCCAATAATGAGCTTTTCTATCCACCATTAACAAGGTAAAGCTTAGCTAAAGGGAGTTTTTCCTCTCCACTGTCACTACAAGCATGCTTAGTGTGAGGGATTGTATTTGAGTCAATGAGTCGATGTAATCAACTGGTTTTCCTTAGATAGAAAACTTTGTATCAATCTGACTGGATGATCTGGTTGAACTGTAAAGTGCCTTGAGATGACATGTGTTGTGAATTGGAGCTATTGAAATAAACTGAATTGAATTGAATTAAAGTCTCTGCTTGCTTTGGTCTGATGAAGCGTACATTGAGTATTTCAGCAACAATAACTCGGTTCAATGGGAAACCAAACTTTCCCTTTGCTAAAAATGGGGGAGGATCCATGATGCTGTGGGCTGGTTTCTCTGAAAAGCAGGATGCTTTAAATATACATTTTGTGACCTACCAGAAAATGTCATCCTTGGGTCTTTAAACATAATAATGATCCAACTCATTATGACCACGTCAGCACAGAGAACCATCTGTGATCTGAAAAGAAGAGCAAGCGTGGGATGAAAAGTTTAATGAATGTTTGAAATGAACAGCATCCTGAGACCAGTGCTGATTTTCCAGGTGTGCACGCTGCAGGCAGAGGTGACCCGTCTTCGCTCCTCTGTGGAGCGGGGTGAGGCTCAGCGGGCGGAGCTACAGTACCAGCTGGCTGCAAGCCGCAGAGACAGCGAACGGATGGCAGAGCTCACCAGGGACAGACACACTTTAACAGGTGGACAAATTAAGCTCATATTTGGTTGGTAGAACGAAAGTTACTACCGTAACTACGGTTCTATGAATCCCGGATGACCGCCAGAGGCGGTGCTTCAAGCACTGAATGATCATTCTTGCGCATGCGCAGGTCGAGTATTAATGACAACAAAGTCAGCTGTGACCTGCCGGGGACCCACGTGACTCTATATAGTCACGTGGCACCCGGCAATCAATCCCTCAATCTTCTCGCGAAAGCAGAGATTCCGAGGGACCAAGCACTCTGGCGGTCATCCGGGATTCATAGAACCGTAGTTACGGTAGTAACTTTCGTTCTATTTCATCCCTACTGACCGCCAGAGGCGGTGCTTCAAGCACTGGATGACTCATATCAACAAGGTCACGAGGAATCAGCAACATTCAAGGAACAACGACTACACCACCCACCTAATGTGATGTAGAGGCATGCTGCTCGAGGATTCCCTGAAGCGGATGGGGCGCAGCCACATTCACCCTGTAGAACCGAGTAAAGGTACTAGGTGACTTCCAGGAGGCCGCACGACATATAACATCCAATGGCACCCCAGTCATAGCAGCAAACGATGTCGACATGCCCCTTGTAGAGTGGCATTTCACTCCCGCCGGCAGTGGCCGGTCCTGCAAGGCATAAGCCTTGGAGATCAAATCCACAACCCAGTGTGCAAGTCGCTGCTTAGAAAGTGCCTGACCTTTCCGTGAGCCAGCGTAGCAAACAAAAAGGCTATTTGTCTTTCGGAAGGATGCCGTGGCATTGATGTATGTCTCAAGGGCACGGACAGGACACAGTGGTTCAGAGGGACTTCCAGAGTCAAACCGGGCAAGATGGAGAGGCTGGGTGCTGCCTGCTGGCAGTGATACCTTAGGAATAAATGCTACATCAGCCCACAGTGTAACGCCTGAGCCATCAGGATTCCACCGGCAGCAGGGTTCGGCTATCGAGAGAGCCTGTAACTCCCCTACACGTTTTGCGGAAACCATAGCTAAAAGGAACGCAGTCTTCAGTGAGAGCCATTTGAGGTCCGCCAACGCCAGGGGCTCAAATGGGAGGGGCCGAAGAGCCTCAAGCACAAGAGAAAGGTCCCACGCCGGTGCCACAGGGCGGTTGGGTGGGTGCAAACGCCGAGCACCTCTTAAAAACAGTACAACATCCTTGTCTCGGCCCACAGAACAACCATTCAGCCCAACATGCCAACAGGAAATGGCAGCCACATACACCTTTAAGGTAGATGGGGACCGTCCTTGATCCAGCAATGCCTGCAGGAAGGTCAGTATGTCAGAAACTGAGCACTGCACCGGGTCCTGCCCTCTATCACGGCACCAGGTCGCACTTGTTAGCATAGACAGCTCGCGTGGACGGCGCCCATGCATTAGCCATTGTATGCCCTATGGACCCAGTGTATCTTGAGAAGGTGGACCCCGGCCTTGCAGGGGCCAAATCCAGAGCTGGAGCCGGTCCGGTTCGGGGTGCAAGATCTGACCCCCCCATCTGGGAAAGAAGGTCTCTCCTGGAGGGGAGACGCATTGGCGAGCCGGAGCTGAGCTCGCACAGTAGAGGAAACCAAGTCCTCGCTGGCCAGTAGGGGGCCACCAGCAGGACCCTGTGCCCCTCCTGACGTACCCTGAGGAGAGTCTGAAAAAGTAGGCTGAATGGCGGAAAGGCATAAAGGAGGGTCCTGGGCCAGTCGTGTGCCAGAGCATCGTGGCCCAGAGGGCTGCTGTTGTCCAACGAGAACCAAAGGGGACAGTGAAATGCGTCCCTTGAGGCAAAGAGGTCCACGTCCGCCCTGCCAAAGACCTTCCAGATGCACTCCACCACCTCTTGGTGAAGCTTCCACTCCCCTGGAAGCGGCTTCTGACGGGATAGAAAATCTGCTGGCACGTTCTCCGGCCCTGGGATGTAGGCTGCTCTGAGGCTGGCTATGCGTGGAGCTGCCCAGGTCAGAAGCCGTTGAGTCAAGCACAACAGTTTCCTTGACCTCGTGCCCCCCTGGTGGTTGATGTGAAAGACCACTGTGGTGTTGTCTGACCTCACCAGCACGTGCTTCCCCCGCAAGCCTGGAAGAAAGCTCTGAAGAGCCAGAAGCACAGCCTGTAACTCCAGGACATTGATGTGTTCCCTGCCCTGCCGCTGGGACCATGTCCCCTGTGCCATTTGACCCCGCCAGGTTGCACCCCAGCCCGTGGAGGATGCATCTGTAAACACAACTTCCCGACGACACGGGAGGGAACCGAGCGGGACCCCTGTGGTCATAAACAACCTCACCCTCCATTGGGACAGAGACTGAAGACACTGAGGCCCCACCCGAAGTCTTCGGAGACGATGAGTGTTCCGTGTGGGATCCAGATTCAAGCTGTTCAACCACATCTGGAGGGGCCGCAATGACAGCAGCCCCAAGGGCACTACGGCGGACGCAGCTGTAAGCATGCCCAAGAGTCGAAGATACCGCACAAGAGGCAGCGCCATGCCGCGCCTGAATTCCGGGAGCACGCTCAATATACTGTCCACCCGCTGGGGTGACGGGCAAGCAGTCATTGAGATGGAATCCATGGCAATGCCCAGGAAGACAGTCTCCTGTGAGGGGGTCAGACTGCTTTTCTCCATGTTCACCTGCAAGCCCAAGCATCCCACATGATGGAGCACTAACCGAGTATCTCGAACCGCCTGGTCCCACGTCGCGGCACAAATGAGCCAGTCGTCCAGATATGGGAGGATCCTCAATCCCTGTGCCTGCAGAGGAGAGAGGGCCGCTGCAACACATCGGGTGAACACCCTGGGGGACAGTGAAAGTCCGAACGGGAGGACCCTGAACTGGAAATGCCTCCCTTGAAAAGCAAAACGAAGAAACCGCCAATGGGGCGGAGCGATCGGAACGTGAAAATAAGCATCCCTGAGATCTATGGAAGTGAACCAATCGCCCGGGGAAATCGCCTGCAACACTTCCTTGGTGGTCAGCATATGAAAGGGCATGGCCTTCAAGTACACATTCAGGCCTCTGAGGTCCAAGACTGGACGCAGGCCCCCGGTCTTCTTCGGAACCAGAAAATACGTGGAATAAAAGCCCCCTGGATCCAGCAGGGGGTCCACAGGCACTATAGCACCCTTGGCCAGCAAGGTGCAGATTTCTTGGTTCAGTGCCTGTGCCTTCACCGGGTCGTGGATCACAGTCATCCTGACCCGGCCAGGGATAGGTGGCCGGCGGCGGAATTGAAGACGGTACCCCCGGGACAGGGTGGACAACACCCACAAGTCCGGGGTGTGGGCAGCCCAGAAGCTGAGCTGTCCCGGGGAAAAATAACCGACCGCCGGCTCTAAGGCATCATCTGCGGGTCCCCCGGCCCTTCGAAGGCCCGGGAGGACGCCGGCCAGACTGCGCGGCTCGAAAGGGATGAAAGGACCTCGTCCCAGCCTGGTCTCGAGCTCTGTTCCTCCGATCTAGAGCAGGTCCCCGGACCGATCTCTGACCTGGTAACAGACCCTGGGGCTCAGTGGGAGAAGGAGAAGGCACTAAGGACCTCCGTGAAGGACCCGCAGCTGCCCAGGTGCTTACTGGCTGGCGATCACGTCTGTGAAGCCCTGCCAGCTGTTGCCTCGTTCTAGAGGCCTGAGCCGTACGGTCCAAGGCGTCCAGTGCCGCTGAACCAAAAAGCTCCCCCGGGACCACAGGCAGGGCCCGGAGGGTCCTCCTACAAGGCTCAGTTAGTGGTGACTGCGCCAACCAGACCTGGCGGCGAGCATGAACCAGTGTGGAGAGTGTGCGTCCAAGTTCCCTCGTCATAAGAGCAAAGGCCTGCAGAGATGCATCAACCAGGCCTTGCGTGGCATGATCCAGCGGAACAGATTCCAAGGAGGAAGACAGGGCCAGCATAAGATGGGAGAGAGAGTTCCCAATCCGGCCCATGCGGGCCCCAGAGTCATAGGCCTTACAGAGAAGGTCGTCGGTAATACGGCACTGAGGACGCGGACAACGGGCATTGGGCCGCAAGGCCTCATCAGGCGGGATTATAAGAGAGGCAATGCCCGGTTCCACCGCTGGCATCTGCCCCAAGCCAACCTTGGGTGCCTCCTGCATAGCTGCAGGGACCCTGCCATCCGTCGTCAGACGTGAAAACGCCTTGGTGTCTGACCAGCAAGCATGCAGTTCCCGCACATACTCCGCCGAGGGAGGAACCACAAAGGCAGTCTCTGACCTACTGCGCCTAAAGAAGGCGCTGGAAGCCGCAGGCTGGGCCTGAGGAACACTAATCTGTAAACGGGCAAGAGCCGTTCGAATAGCGGATGTCACAGACTCCCCCGTATCCTCCTGGGAGGCAGAGGCCCCGGAGCCCAGCTCCGGAAGGTCCTCACAGAAATGGGTGCCAGAGGCCGCCACAGAAACAGCATCGTCGTCATTGACTGACGTTTCATCCTGCTCGGTAGGGAGAGCCGTGCCGCGATCACCAGCAGTCTGAAAGGACTGGAGGAGGGCTTTCATTTGGGCCAGCTCAGTAGTGAGATGATCCACTCTGGTGGACAACCTCCCTGCATCGGTCCGTCTAGCACGCTTCGTTGGTACCGAAGGTGCAGCCACAGTAGATCGTTTGCACACCGCTTTCTCCATCGGCAAACGAGCACGCGGCGAAGCGCTCGCCCAGTCGGTAGGCTGCTCCAGTGCAGCCAACCGATCCAGTCTGACCGACCGGGGCATGACGCGACAGTTGGGGCAAGCGTCATCTGACAGCGCCTCCCGGAGATGTTCCACACCGAGGCAGGAGGGACACAAGTCATGCCCGTCATCCGGCTGAAGTGGAGCCAGACAGGTCGAGCAACATAAATTATCCAGCATCATACTGCTGAAAGGCGTGATCAGCCTGCTACCAAGGACAAGTCAACACGAGCAGGAAACGCTACTGGCGACTCGTTGTAGGAAAACCCCCGCAGAGATTCCAAACTCAGCGTGAGCAGAAACGCCACTAGCAAATCGATTATTAACTAAAGATGAACTCAGCACGAGCAGAGACGCCACTGGTGAGTTTAGGCAAACAAACTATAGAAGAACCCAACGCGAGCAGAAACGCTACTGGTGGGCTTAGGCAAACAAACTGAAAACAACTCAGCGCGAGCAGAAACGCCACTGGTGAGTGTAGATAAACAAACTATAGAAGAACCCAACGCGGGCAGAAACGCTACTGGTGGGCTTAGGCAAACAAACTGAAAACAACTCAGCGCGAGCAAAAACGCCACTGGTGAGTGTAGATAAACAAACTATAGAAGAACCCAACGCGAGCAGAAACGCTACTGGTGGGCTTAGGCAAACAAACTGAAAACAACTCAGCGCGAGCAGAAACGCTACCGTGAGTCAAAAGAGCCACAAAATTAACGTGGCAAATCAAAGCGAACAGTAAACTACTGCTGAGAAAAGAACGAAAACTTACCAGTCACCGCAGATCTGGTAAGGTGAAAGCAGCTTGTGCAGCCCCTGGAGGGCGAGACTTACCCGCAGCTCCGACCAAACCCGGTCACGGGGCTACCAGCAACAAGCAGCCAGGAAACTAGTGGTATACACAGAAGCAACCAGCTTCACACGACCACACTCCGGTACTCAACACACCTGCGCGCGAGAAGAACAAAAGGGATTGATTGCCGGGTGCCACGTGACTATATAGAGTCACGTGGGTCCCCGGCAGGTCACAGCTGACTTTGTTGTCATTAATACTCGACCTGCGCATGCGCAAGAATGATCATTCAGTGCTTGAAGCACCGCCTCTGGCGGTCAGTAGGGATGAAATAGAACACAACTTTCATAAGATGAAATGGTTTCGAATGATAACATGTTCAGCAGTTTGCTGATAAAACCCTACAGATTCTCCCTGGATTTACACAATCAGAGCAGCACGCTGCTACCAGCAGCAGTGCTTCTCACGCTTTTAAAGTGTTTGTTTTTATTTCTTTTTATGTCAGAGCAAGCAGCAGAACTCCAGCAGACTGTCGCCGACTTGCAGAAAGCTCTGAACGTCACACAGCAGGCAAGAAAAGAGGACCAGCAAGCTTTGCAGCAAGATCTGGCGGAGCGGGACCAACTGATCCAGAACTTTAGCTCAGAAAACCAGCGACTGCACCAAGTGCTGCAGGTCTGACCATTTAAAAAAACAGAATAAACTCATGCCCTGCAGATAAAAAGGTAATTGCTGGAATGAAGTATGAAATTAAAATGCCGAAACGGACCAGAATCAAAAGAGTATTAGCTATAGAAGAACAGCTGCATATTTACATACTGATGCCCTTTAATAGACGTGCAATTCTCAGTGATCCATTAGAGCTACAATTAACTGTTTGAAGATATCAGAGTTGGGCTTTATTAGGAGTTTACATACTTAGTAAACTTTTTATTTGCTGTTTTCTAATTGGCTTAATGAAGAAAAACCCAGACTCCAAGCTGAACCATGATGCTTAGTTACCAACTCGTAAAAAAACCTTGATTTGACAAACATGCAGACATTTCAATGCATTAATATTTAAACAAAATAAAACATTTTATTCTAAAAATATTAATATAACTTTTAAAGCCTAATCTAACCTTGATATTTTTCACTTAATATTTAACGTGTGCTCTGAAAGAGCTATCAACCAGCCTGCCTGAGAGTAGAGATGGACAAATATAGTATGGTGTCATCTGCATAAAGGTGGACTTCATTTCACACACACATATATATATATATGGGGTGGGTGTTGGCAAAGAAGTCATGATTCGATTCGAATCACGATTCACATGCCACGATGCGATTCTATCATGATGCATCATGATACTTGAAATATTGCAATGCATTGTGATATTTTCACTGAACACTGTAAGAAAAAGATACAGCCCTTACCAGTGGCTGACTGGCTGGGTGTGATCTGGATCGTGTCTTCAATTGATAAATAACTGAAAGCAACTGAATTCATACATAGCTGTATTTGTTTTAACGACTTTTGGAGGTGTTGCCATGAAAACAAATACTGGACAGAAATATTACTATTACTGGCGTGGACACACTGACAAAAAGATCTTAGGATTCATCAAACTTAAAATAACAAAATAAGGATAATCAGTGCCGTTTACATGGTCCTTTACACCAATGAAACGAAAACATTCAAATGTATATTTCCCCTTTTGCAAATGACGTGCGTCATATCAATTTCATTTTTACCTTCTTTGTTTTTAAAGCCAAAATGCATTCAAGCATCTGAATTGAAATGTGATGGAACCGCGGGGTGAATTTTCATAGTTTCCTCCATGTTTTATTTCATATGACTCGTCGCAGCATGGACGGACATGCTTGTGACACAAAGCAGCGGGCGTCAACACATCCGCAGCGACATCTGCTGGACTGGAAGTTGCATTCCACTTGGTTTGGCTGATGTGCGCCAACCATTCATGTATTTAATTTTTAAATTATTATTATTATTTTTTTTTTTATAATCGATTCTTGCCTTCAAGAATCGATGTAGTAGATCACAAAAATTAGAATCGCGATGCATCGTCATGACGATTATTTTGCACACCCTTAATATATATACATATATACACTACCGTTCAAAAGTTTGGGGTCACATTGAAATGTCCTTGTTTTTGAAGGAAAAGCATGAATTTAACTTTAAACTAGTCTTAACTTTAAAGAAATACACTCTATACATTGAAGATTTCCTACAACAGTGTGTACTACTCCCTTCAGAGGACAGCACATACAGGCTCTAACCAGAGTAGGAAAAGAAGTAGGAGGCCGCGTTGCACAACAAGCAAGAAAATAAGTACATTAGAGTCTCTAGTTTGAGAAACAGACGCCTCACGGGTCCCCAACTGGCATCTTCATTAAATAGTACCCAAAGTAGCTTGTTTGTGCTGTCCTCTGAAGGGAGTAGTACACCGTTGTAGGAAATTTTCAATTTCTTAGCAATTCCTTGCTTGGAATAGCCTTCATCTCTAAGAACAAGAATAGACTGTTGAGTTTCAGATGAAAGTTCTCTTTTTCTGGACATTTTGAGCGTTTAATTGACCCCACAAATGTGATGCTCCAGAAACTCAATCTGCTCAAAGGAAGGTCAGTTTTGTCGCTTCTGTAACGAGCTAAACTGTTTTCAGATGTGTGAACATGATTGCACAAGGGTTTTCTAATCATCAATTAGCATTCTGAGCCAATGAGCAAACACATTGTACCATTAGAACACTGGATTGATAGTTGCTGGAAATGGGCCTCTATACACCTGTGTAGATATTGCACCAAAAACCAGACATTTGCAGCTAGAATAGTCATTTACCACATTAGCAATGTATAGAGTGTATTTCTTTAAAGTTAAGACTAGTTTAAAGTTATCTTCATTGAAAAGTACGGTGCTTTTCCTTCAAAAATAAGGACATTTCAATGTGACCCCAAACTTTTGAACGGTAGTGTGTGTATGTATATATATATATATATATATATATTAGTGCTGTCAATCGATTAAATTTTTTTAATCGCGATTAATCCCATCAATGCCTAAGTTAACTCGCGATTAATCGCATTTAATCACACATTTTTTTCTGATTGAAAATCATTTAAATACTCTCGATGACATACAAAAAATACATACAGGCTAGGTTTGTGCCAATGTTCTTTTTTTTTTATGAGAACAGGTCACAGACACTGATTTATGCCATAGAAACATATGGCAAGAAGATGGGGAGGCATGTAGCAAAAAATAACAAATATGTAGCCAAAAAAAAGGCCCTGAAAACAGGCTGATGTAAAAGACAGTCTTTACAGTTAATACAGTCTTTTGAACAAAGACAAGCATTTTACCCTACTGCTATAAAATGTAGTACAGTTAATATTAGATGTTAATTAACCAAGATAATAATGAACAATTTTCAATCAATACATCAAAATCAATAGACCGACATCACTAGATGGAGGTAGTCTATGCTCTAGAAAGTTACTTTTCAGCCTCTTAACAAAAATGAGAACACACACACACCCACCCACACACACACACACACACACACACACACGATACTGACCTGTGGCGTACACAGACAGCAAGAGTGCCGTAGCAGATTCCATTTCACCTCAGTAATCTGTTTTCTCAGCGTATTTCAGGTTGCTACTAGTTACCAGACACTCAACTTGTTTGTTGGTGGTGGGGCTTAAAGAAAAGGCACTAGCGTCACCCAGTGTATGAGCGTCTTTTTCCCTTGAGGAGCTCCGCTCTCGAAGCCTATGGAAAATGCATAGACTGGGGGAAAATAGCCCCGCCTTCCCGCAGGCTGCAGCGGGATGTACTTGGAAAATTGTACCATAAAACCACATAGCGTTAATCTCACGTTAAAAAAATTATCGCCATTAAAATGGCCTCGCGTTAACGCGATAATAACGCGATAATTTTGACAGCACTAATATATATATATATATATATATATATATATATATATAGATATATATAGATATGTATAGATATGTATGTATGTATGTATGTATGTATGTGTGTATATATATATATATATATAGAAAAAAAATATATAAATAAATAAATATAATGGGTCCTATAATAGAGCCTTGGGGGACTTCTTTTTTAAAATTATCATGACACTTTTGCGTTTGAAATCTTTTTCTTTTAATTAACAGATGAAAGGGTGCTATTTACCCTAAACAGAAATGCTCTTTGAAGGAAAGTAAGCAAAGATAAAAAAAAAAAGGAAACAGAAACTTTGGATTTTGAACACAGCCTGTGCTGTACTCAGTCTAAACGTAAAAGCTTCATAAAGTCAGGCTATTTGATTTTTCTCCTCTTCCAGGATCAGGAGGTGGCTCTGGAAGAGACTGAGAGGAAGATGTCCGAGGTGCGGCGGGAGTGTCAGAGGGAAGCAGAGGCAAGCAGACATCAGGCTGAAGAGCTAAAGATCCTGGCAGAGAGGATGGAGAGGACCAGCAGGGACAAGGAGGTTTAGTCTTCACACGTTTCCTGATGATGATTTTTACATTTTTAAATAAAAGTAATGGAGGTGCGGAAACTAGACCAGGTTTGTGTTTCATCCAGCTTTCAGATCAGAGGGTAAAGTCTCTGGAGTTGAGCATGGAGGCGGAGCGCGTCGCTCACCTGGACGCCAAGTATCAGCTGGAAGTCCTTCAGGTAACGCATCATTCACCCATTGCTCTCCAGTGAAACAAACATTTCCGCTCTGCTCAGAAGAACAGCAGGCAGCTTTTAAACCGCGTGCTTCATCAACCAGAACCATCCTTGCATTGCCTTGGTGTGGAGTTCCTCTGTTGTGAAGCATAAAACATTTAATTGGCAGATCGGGATTCCACCGAGAGTCGAACATCAGACTAACTGCAGTTTTCTCACTGAGGAGGTTCGTTCGATCACATTTCTGTGTGACCCAACAGCTGCGGGTTCGTGACCTGGAAGCAGCGGTGGCAGTGGAGCGGTCCAGCCAGCAGGAGGCGCAGCACAGCCTGGAGCTCCTGCGAGCTCACCTCCGAGAGGTGGAGCGGGTTTACAGCCTGGAGAAGGAGAGGAGGGAGTGCACAGAGCACGCTCTGGAGCGGTGAGCATCAAGCCGGTTCCTGTAATCCTTTTTTTCCGGTTCCCGAAAATATATTTGCATTTAAAGATGTACAGAAATGACCTTTTGTTATACTTTTATTCTGATGTTTTGCACGGCGGCGTTCATGCAGGCTGCAGACAGAGTTGGCCCACTCTAAGTCTAAAATGACCGTCTCCTTGGAAACCGAGAGGAAGGCAACCTCTGAGCTCTCAAAAGAACTGGAGGAGGAGAAGAGTCGGCATGCCAGCACCCAGTCACTGCTGCAGCAGGTAACACAGAGCAGCCATGTTTGCTTATGTCATGTATGACGTCACCTCTGCAAAGGTCAGCTGATGACCTTTGATCTTTACATGGCTGATAATCAGGCTCTTCAGCAGAACAAGTTTTATTTTACTGTTAGGAAAAAAACAAATGCTTTTTTATATAAGGCAACTCATTGGAAATAAAAATACTTTACATTACTACATATGATCAAATTGAACTGTTCAGGATTTATTTTAAAATATTTGAATTGAACATAATTCAATTAAATTGAGCGACATTTAATTGAATGGAACTGAATTGAATTTATCTAACATGAACTGAAACATTGAATTAAACTGAATTTAATTGATTTGATTTTAACTGAACAGAACTTAATTGAACTTAACTAGATTGAATTAAATTGAATCTAACTCTACTGACTGATTCAAGGGAATTAAATTGCATTAAACAGAACCTATTATAATTGGACAGATGAAGATGAACGGAATTGAATTGAACTCAAATCACCCTCACTTAAATGAACTGGATTTGACTGGATTTCCCTAAACTGAATTAAATGGAATTCAATTAAATTGAAGTCAGTTTATTTAAAATGATTTCAAATTTGCTTGACCTGAACTGATTAGACTTGAATTGAATTCACTTAATGTGAACTGTACAGAATTGACTCAAACTAACCTGAATGACATTGAATTAAATTCATTTTTTATTATTTGAATTGAATAAAATTTAATAAAGTGTACTTAGTTGAATTCAGCAGACCCTAACTGAATTGACTTGAATTGAGGGAACAGTGGGTAGCACTGCTGCCTTGCAGCAAGAAGGCTCCGGGTTTGATTCCCGGCCCGGGGTCTTTCTGCATGGAGTTTGCATGTTCTCCCTGAGCATGCGTGAGTTCTCTCCGGGTACTCCGGCTTCCTCTCACAGTCCAAAAACATGACTGTTAGGTTAATTGGCTTCTCTAAAGTCTCTTTAGGTGTGAGTGTGAATGGTTGTTTGTCCTGTTTCTCCCTGTTGCCCTGCGATGGACTGGCGACCTGTCCAGTTGTACTCCGCCTCTCACCCGTAGACAGCTCGAGATAGGCACCAACGCCACTTGGATAAGACTGACGGGAAATGGATGGACTGGATGGATGACTTGAATTGAATTTAGCTAACCTGGACTGGAACTGAAGGACTCAGAGAAAAGGTTCAGCCATACTTTTAGTTCAACTGGGAATCTGTTTATATTCTCCTCTTCCTGGTAGTAACTAGTTTTGTGAGTTTTTACATAGAAGAGGTGAGGATTTAATGCTGTTTAAAGGAAAGTATAAGAAGCTGTAAAAGCTGCAATATAAAGATCACCATAACAATCAGGTTTATTTCCCTGAAAGCAGAAGGAAGCGCTGAAGATCGGATCTAGAACCGGATACAGAACCAATGGTATTAGCTCCATTCTTTGTGTTCAGGCAGCTGCAGGTCGGTCCGAAACAGAGGAGGTCTTGATGGACACTCTAAAACGAATCACTGGCATGCTGCAGCAGTCAGCCCAGCCTGCAAAGGATGATGGGAAACCGAGTCCTGCTGAGGTTCTCCAGCTGCTGGCCTCCACTCTGAGCACTGTTCACCGCAGACTGGAGGAAACTACCAAACAGGTACCGATTCTGTCCACACGAGGCGATCCGTCCTTTAGAACCACGGTTCCTGGTATCTGCTTTGTTCCTCCATCAGGTTCAGGATCTGCTGGGTTCATCCCAGAAGCTTCAGGAGGAGAATTGTCGTCTCCAGCAGCTGATCTCAGATCAGAAGAAACAAAATGAGGTAAGATGTCCTCTGATTCCTGAATATTCCTGACCAGTAACGGGATGTAGTTTCCTAGAAACCTGGTGTTAGAGCAGGGATGTGGAATCATGGCACCTTCTGACAGGAGTGGAGGGGTCTGCAACAAACAGGAAGGGGAAGAACAAACTCTGACGCCTGTCTCTGTCCACCAGGAGGCCCAGCAGGCCCTGGTCCAGCTGCAGGAGGAGGCATCCGGCTTACGCCTGCAGGGCTCTGATTGGTCGGTGCAGAACAAGGAGCTGCAGGAGGAGCTGCAGCGAGTGAAGGAGGAGAGGATGAAGGCGAAGGAGGAGATTCAAGAGATAAGAGAAGAGTTCAAGAAGGAATCAGAGGTGATTTTTATTCCTAACAGTCAGAACACCAGTTCCACCTTAGAACTTTTTCATCCGACCTGAGACACACATGAGCTTCCCTCTTAGATATACAGTCAGGTAAATAAGTATTTGAAAACTCTTAGAAATCATGGAGGGGTCTCTAATTATCAATAGTTGCCTGTCCACTGTGAGAGGCATAATCAAAAAAATAAAATGCAGAAATCACTATATGATATTTTAACTATTAATTTGATCCAGCTGCAGAGAAGTATTTGAACACCAGAGAAAATCAATGTTAATATTTGGTACAGTAGCCTTTGTATGTAATGCAAATCTTCAGCTAGTTTGCACACAGTAGGGATTTTGGCCCACTCCTCCACACAGATTTTCTGTAGATCAGTTTGGTTTCTGGGCTGTTACTGAGAAATGTATTGCAAGATTTTTGGGAACAACCTCCTTCCCTCTGTTAGAGCATTGAAGATGAGTGGAGGCCGGGTCTTTCACCATGACGATGTCCCGAAGCAGCCGGGATAACCAAGGAGTGGCTCTGGAAGAAGCATATCAAGGTTCTGGCGTGGCCAGAATCGAGAATCTTTGGAGGGAGCTCAGACTCGGTGTTTCTCAGCGCCAGCCCAGAAACCTGACCGATATAGATAAGATCTGTGTGGAGGAGTGGGCCAAAATCCCTCCTGCTGTGTGTGCAAACATGGTGAAACATTACAGGAAACATTTTACCTAAAGAATTACATACAAAGGCTAATGTACCAAATATTAACATTGATTTTCTCTGGTGTTCAAATACTGATTTGCAGCTGGATCATACAAATAAATAGTCAATAAGCAGGGCTGGATGTTAACCATCGCCCGATCTCCCGGGGCAAGTAGTTTTCATTGTCAGGAGAGTACAAATTTCATTGCATTGCCAGGCGGGCAATGATCTCAAAAAAAAATTATCACTCAAAATTAATTTAAAATAACAGACATTCAATGAAAACGACCCGGAAGCGTTGACGGCGCCATTTTTGTTGTTTTGTACACATTGTCGCATGATTTGAAAAAGGCGCTGGATTTTCTGCCAGATGGCGTGATTTTTGTCCACCTAGCAGTAATTTTGATGTAGTTACCAAAACGACAAACGGCTGCATTTATTTAGTCAGGGAAAACTAATCCTGAGTCAGTTAAAAGTCAGGGAATTCTGAAATGATGTCAGACTGTGGAAACCCTGAATAAAATAACTATGTATAATGATTCTCTAGAAAAGTCACATTATATTAATACTATTATCTTGTATAAACAGACCGTGACTCTAAAATAAGTTATTCATTTGTGACATTGACTTCTATCTTCTGATTTATCTTAAGTTTTTAACCTGTCGAGTTTTTTTTTTTAGATATTTAACATTACAATTTATATTTTTCCAAGCACACAACAGTTTAAATCTAAGTTTAGTTTGAAAAGAATGTGCAGGAAGGATTGAAAAGCATGTTAACACGGTAATGTAGGCTTGAGTTCATTATCTGACGCATGCAGATACACACCAGGAACCTGGAAACTTAAAAAATACTGAATTACAAAAAAACATTTTAAAAAACAAACAAGTTTCATTGATATATACATAAAAATGAATATTAGGAACTATATTTATATAACATTATACTACAAAAAAAATTTGATACGGATCGATGCATTGATACAAAATGATTATTATTCACAGCCCTACACTCTGTGTCTGACTTCTCCATGTTTAAGTTAGACAGCAGTAGGATTTAAGAAAAGGAACTGCCCTGTTTTTTTTTTTTTTTTTTATTTCATGAAAGAAATTTAAAAAAAAAAAAAAAAAGGGTCTCGTTTTTTTTTTTTTTATTGTTTGCTTTGGATTGAAAAATTAATGAATGAATAATTTCACAGACCTTTGAACCTAACCAGATTAGCCAGGCCCTCAGAAGTGTAAAACACTGTAAAAAAAAATTGACTATATGTTCTTACAATAAAGGTGTTTCAACTTAATTTCAGTAGCTGAGGAACATGATTGTCCAACACTGGAAATTTCTCAAATTATGTGTATTTACCCTTTTTTTGAGTATGTAAATGAGATGATTTGCCAATGGAATGAGTATTTTTACTCTTAAAATAAGATATTTAGATAAAATGCACTTTAAATAAGACAATGCAATTGCGTTTTATTTTAAATGTAATTTGTCTTGTTCCATTGGCAAAATGTCTCTTTTACCTTCTCAATTCAAGAACAAATGCACTTATTTTAAGAAAAAATGGCTCATCTAGGTTTTGATTTTTTCCAGTGAATGGAGTAATTTCCAGTGAAGTATGTATAGCTACTAGGGATGGAACGGTTTATGAAAACCGTTCCATCCCTAGTAGCTACCTTATTTCAGGGCCCACAACAATCATTACATTGGTGGATAATACTAGCTACCTGCTTAGACGTACAAATGAATGGATTTACTTCTTTTTAGTTAGATCTTTGCAGTGTAGATGTTGGGTCTTTAGGAACTCCTGGATCTTCTTACCTGGAAAGCTTCAACACTGCTCCATGTTTTCTCCATCTGTAGGTAATTATAAGTTAAATCAGGAAACCAGGAGCTGACCTGGTTTTCCTTCTGAAATAAGGAAAAAAGACAGGAAGGAAGGGGTTTGTCATGCAGGACTTTCTCTGTGCTTCGTTCAGCATCTGTTTGTGTTCACGCCAGGCCCGCCTGTCCTTCCTCCACTGCCTGTATCAGCGCCTGCTGGCCGGGTGCGTCCTCATCCATCACCCCCAGAGCATTCTGGGAGAATTCACCTGGCAGGATCTGTGTGATGTCATCACCCAGCAGGTGGATCAGCTGACCTCTGACCTGCTGAAGGCAAACAGCGAGGTGTGCTTTTAAAAACCGGCTCATTCTAAGCCTCACGCAGCAGTGAGGTGTCAGATCTGAGACCTTTTTCGCGCTTGCATAGAAATGATTATTGGTCACTGATTTTTATTCTTCTTGCTGTTTATTTCTAGATGAAAGCTACAGCTTCATCCAGAAAGATTAAAGCTAACTTCTCCTCTCTAGCAGAAATCCTTCCATTTTTAGTTCCTGCAGTTTCAGCACTTTTATGCTTTTTTTGTTGCTACTTTTTTTCTGCTTTAAACCGATGTGGAGTTTTCCCGTTCTACGTGCAGATCGCTCACCTGCAGGGTGTGTGTGACAAGAATAGCGTGTGTGTGCGCGAGCTGCAGCGCAGTCAGGAGAGTGTGTTGGCTCGCCTGGAGGAGAGCGTGAGGAGGAGGGAGGAGGCCTGGAGCCGCCAGCACACAGACGCCGTCAACCAGCTGCAGAGCCAGCTGCAGGTAGCACACACACTCACCGAATCCCCCTGGATAAGCTGATCTGCAGTCAGTCGGGCCTCCCTGCAGCCACAGATGAAGGGAGACGATTTTATTTCATTCCTCTTTGGAATGATGATCAAATCTGTTGCTGAGAGCAGAAACTGTTTTAAATGCAGCTTTTTGAACCCCACAATCTAGATTTGATTTCCTCTCCTTTCTTTCAGCTCTGTCGCTCTCAGTGCAACTCCCACCGGGACCGCGCCTCGTCTCTGGAGCACCGCTGCTCCTCCCTGACCTCCGACCTCTCCCGGCTGCAGGGCCTCCTTTCCAAAAGCCGCCGGGAGTCTTCTTCCTTTTTCCTGGGCTGTGCTCTGCTGGCCGGAGCGTTGCAGCACGCCCGCAGCTGTGTACGCGCCCTCTCCGAGCAGAAGGTCGTCCTCCGCAGGCAACTGGCAGAGAGGGAGCTGTTGGAGCAGGAGGTCCGCAGGCTGGCCGACGCTCTGGGAGGAGAGCAGGAGGAGGAGGAAGAGGAGAGACGTAGGAGGGCAATTAGGAGGTGGAGGAGGAATGCATGGGCAGTGCTGGCGCTGAAGAGGTGGATGGCTATGACTAAGAGGACGATGGTGTTGTTTCGGCTGGAAAGAAGTGGAGGCGGAGTGGCTGTCTGCAGGTGTGGAGACGCCCATACGGCAAGCATTAAGGGTAAGAAGGATAAATAAAACCGGATTTTTTTGTCACGAGCTAAACTTATACAGCAAAGGAGACGCACAGAACGCTGCCTACACAAGGGCTGTTTGTCAATTCACAAGAACGCGAGGACGAACTCATATCCTCGCCAAGTATGTTCTTGAGAAGAACACAGGTAAGTCTGAACTCTGGGAGAACGGGAGCAAGAAGCATAAATATGGGTCAATTGAAACAGACTCATGACATCACCACACGCTCAGCTCGTCTGGACGGATAAGTCTGTTATGATGGGTAAAGAGGGAGGGGCCAGAACAACCTGTGCTCAGGTTCCACCAGAGCGTTTCGCAATATAGTTTTCCTCCTCTAAATAAAAAATGGATGACAGAGGAGACTCATCCACGACCTCCGACACTAAACTCTCCTCCTCTTGCATGTTTCCTCTGTCCATAGCGTTCCTTGACAGCGTCGTTTCTAAGTCACCAATTTAGTGCTACTTGGTCCCAATGGAATTTCCCCTTGGGAACCTACTAGCATTAAGCTGCTAACTGGTTAGCAAGATGCTTCCGACAAATCGGCCACACTCAAACTTCTATGCGAATCTTCCACCACAGCAATCCCGCCCCCTTAATAAACGACCAATCACATTCACTTTATTCACTCGTGTAAAGTCGGGCACCACTCGGGAGAATTCGGAAATGCAACCATTGGAACGGCCGTTTCCCGACGACCATAAAAAGGAAATGGGTTCAGACCTCAGGCGGATTTTTTGTTTTTTTTCTGCACAGGTTTTGCATGTTCTCCTACTGCACAGGTGTCAAAGTCGTTCCAGAAAGGGCCGTGTGGCTGCTGGTTTTCTTTCCACCCAAGCAACAGCACACCAGACTCCATTCATCTCATCAAGGTGAGTCTAGTCTTAGGCCCCGTCCACACCAAGTCAAAACGAAAACGAAACGCTAATATTTTCCAGAACGTTTGTCGTAAAGACGGAGACGTAAAATAAATGTGACCGTCCACACGAATGCATGAAAACGCTGCAAAATGTATGCCAGGCCTGTAAGTGGCGCTGTGGTGCCAAAGCAAAAATAGGCGACAAAATGTTGGGCATGCGCACTAATATTTATACATGGTTGCCCTGCGGGTCCATTTTCGTGGTTCAGTCAAATTGAGGTGCTAAACTATGTCGTCTATATTGCTCTGTTCTTCCTGGAGATATTCCAGAAGAAGAAGATTCTGTTGTAAGCCCGACAGCAGGGTGAGTAGCATTAGCAGCAACCATTCAACACAGTACGGCGCCATTGTTGTTGTGATACTGGTCGCGCATGCGTGTTTAGAGGCGACGCTATGAGCATGCGTGTAAAAAAAAAAAATGCGGTTAGAGCTTAAAGATGGAAACGCGAAAACGGCGTTTCAAAATCTTCCCACTCTGAAGGCTGAATAAAAAAAAGATCGTTTACAGACCCCCGAAACGCCGGCTTCGTGTGGATGAGAGGCTGGTTTGGTGAAAAATTTGTGCGTTTAGGCCAGAGTTTGACTTCGTGTGGACGGGGCCTGAGTCTAGTCTTAACCTGATGACTTGATGAGATGAATGGAGTCTGGTGTGCTACTGCTTGGGTGGAAAGAAAACCAGCAGCCACACGGTCCTTTCTGGAACGACTTTGACACCCCTGCCCCACTGCCTGCATGGGTTCCCTCCTGGTGCTCCAGCTTTCTCCAAAACCACTGCTTTTATATTAACAGTTTTTTGTTAAAGCAGTGATTGTCTTTATCAGGATTCATTAATGTTGAAGTCTAGTTTCCGGCAGTCAGGGCATTTGTGTCGCTGCAGCGGGCTGTCTTTATCTGGCATTAGGGTTGTCACAACACTAAACTTTTCGATACTAATACTAAGCAAAATATTCTATCCTCGATAGCATTTTCGATAACAAGGATAAAAATAAAGACTCCAAAATTCAACAGAAATATTTTAATTAATTATTAAAATACAATAAATAATAAATCCAATAAACAATAAGAACAATATTTTAAGGTTTTTTGCTGTGCACAATATTAAGCAAGCTTGATAAAAAACTTACAAAATTAAAATGAATTGTTCCTTCCTTGGCTATGCTTTGCACACATAACAATGACGCTAACCAAACCGGTTAAACAAAAATAATTCTCAGAAGCTGCACCTCTTAAAAAAAAGTCTGAAACTGAAAAGTGTGTAGAATTATTCAATCACACAGTGTTCAGAAAGTGCATTGTCCTCTATTCTGCACTTTAGATGAATGACTGCTTAGGTGCCACTGGTGGTGGCACTGTATCGATACTTTTAAAAACGAGTATTGTATCCGGATACAACGTTTCAGTATCGATACTTTTTTGAGTATCGATACTTTTGACAACCCTATCAGGCATTTTATTTTTAGGTTGTTTTCTTATTTTTTAGTCCTGCCCCCTCTATGCAAGTCATATCAAATAAAAAAAAATAAAAATAAAAAGCAAACTAAACTATTTAATAAATTCTAAAAGGGTCTTCATATTAAAACAGAACTGAAAACTAGAAGTCAAAACTAAATAAAAATAAAAACAATGAAAGTTTCAAAACTATTAAACAACAATTGTAATTGCAGAGATGGAAACATTTGGAAAATAAACATTGGTGTCCTGAATAAACGGTTTTCCTTCTGAATCTTTTCTAGATGAGTTGGATGAAGGAGCTGAAGCTGTTTGTGCTCGCTGGCTTCGCTCTAAAAATCTTTCCTCCATCATTTTGTCCTCCATGGTTGACCTGCAGAGGGCGCTAGCTGACACAGGTGACTAAGCGTGTTTATAAATGCTGTGGACGCTCTGAAGCTCCGTTGGTATCACCCCAGCTTGTCTGTCTGGTTCTCCAGGTTGTTCTCCTCCTAAGGTGATCTCGGCTGCTCGCTCAGGCTTCTCCTGCCTCCTGAACCGCCTCTTGGACCAGTCGGCTCCCAGCGTTTCCTCCGGTTCGCCTGAGGAAATCAAGGAATGGTCCTCTCTGAAACTCAGACAGGCACCAGATCTGAAGGTAACCAAAACTGTGCAGTGCTTTTAGGTTCTGCAGAACCTCTCCACCTGCTGATCACATGTCGTCCCATCAGACGCTGGTGTCCGCCCTCCAGCAGCACTTCCTGCTTTTCAGCCAACGCCTGCACTCAACTGAGGTGGAGAGGCGGAGTCTGCGGCTGGAGGTGGCCAATCTAAAGAGAGGGCTGCAGCAGGAGAGGGCGGAGCTTAATCGCACAGTGAGCTTCAGAAATCCCCGCTTTCCGTTTCTGTTCTCATGCTGGTTTTAAAAGCAAACTTGTTGCGGTTCTGAGCTTTTTCTGGGTTATCATTTGTCTCTGTGCTCAGGTTCCACCGGAGCGTTTCCAGACTGCCTGCGAAGAACTCCGTCAGGCTCTGAACAGAGAGCAGGAAGCGCAGACGCTGATCCAGGAGCAGTCCAAGCAGCTGCAGGTACGTCAGACCAACATGACCTCCTGACAAGTAATAAGAAAGCTTTTTGTTTCGTTTTTTTCACCAAAAGTTACATAAAGATCCTTAAAGGAGTCGTAACCTGTTATTTTACCTGTTCAGTCCCTCTGAAATTGACTTTATATCAACCCTTTATAGGGCACTCAGTGAAATACTTTGACAATCAAAATCTCAAGCCAATAGTGTTAATGGGATCAGGGACAAGACCTTATTACCTTTGGAACATTAAAACAAATATGGATATTTTGATGGCAAAAATTAATGTCAATGCAATAACGCCAACTTGCCAGAATATATTAAGAAAAATAAAAGTGTTTCTATAAAATATTCATGAAAAATACTCAGAGTGAAAGAAACACATTTTTTTTGGTACAACATAACCGTAGAGGCATTAATGCTGATACTGGTACTTAGAGTTTTTAGTTTATAAACCTAAATATAACTTTTTAACTTTACTTTTTTTATTTTAATTAACTTTTTATCATCTTTTATTCACTTGTTTACTCCCCCCCCCCAACCTAATTTACAGTAGGTAATATATCATTCAAGGACTCATCTAACTGGTCAAATGCAAAAAATGAGATGTAAAGTCACGTAGCAGGATCTTTGCTGAATGGCTGGATATAGATCTTGTGCTTCTAGACCTCACTAAGGGGCACGGGGGGACTCCATTTGTAAGGGGTATGCATGTGATGAAAAACGGTAACTTGCTCGATAAAGGGATTTAAGGATAAATATTTATGTAATAAAGTGAGGAAAATAAGTATTTTGAACACCCTGCTATTTTGCAAGTTCTATTAAAAAAAAAAAAAAATCAAAGAGGGGTCTGGCATTTAGACTTAGACTTGGACTGGTCTAAGTCCCAGTCCGAGGGAGATTGACAGTCATGTTGAGCTTCTTCAATTTTCTAATGATTGCTCCAACAGATTACCTTTTTTTCACCAAGCTGCTTGGAAATTTCCCCGTATCTCTTTCCAGCCTTGTGGAGGTTTACAATTTAGTCACTAGTGTCTTTGGACAGCTCTTTGGTCTTGGCTGTGTTAGTAGTTGGTGTGGAGTAAAAAAAAATGAGCACTGAGAGTTGATATCCAAGGAAGAAAAGGTTTTATTTTACTCTGCAGAGGAGAACAACACGACCAGCTGAATGCAGCTCTCAGTGATGATCTGAGGCTGCAGCATCCCAACCCCTGCATAAAAAGGGGACTACCCACACATTAACATTTCCCAAGAGAAACACTTTAGTTCATCAAAGGACAGAGATGACAACTGTTTTCTATTCACACCAGGACATGAGAATCTTGACATGTTTCCCCCTTATCTAACCTAGTGGGAAACTTCCTTTCAAACCTCCTTCCTTTCCTTTCATCTCAACAAGGCTTCTAAGTAATCACTTTTATTCAGGAAAAGAGAAAAAACAGACTTTAACATCACTCACCAACAAGTCAAGGAAAAATACCATTCCACATTGGATTCTAACTCTTTGTATGGGGAGGACAGGTGTCTTTATGCGGCTAACGACCTCAAACAGGTGCATCTAATTTAGGATAATAAATGAAGTGGAGGTGGACATTTTAAAGGCAGACCTACAGGTCTTTGAGGGTCAGAATTCTAGCTGATAGACAGGTGTTCAAATACTTATTTGCAGCTGGATCATACAAATAAATAGTTAAAAAAAATCATGCATTGTGATTTCTGATTTTTTTAAATTATATCTGAGTGGACAGGCACCTATGATGACAATTTCTATTTATTTATTTATTTATTTATATATATATATATATATATATATATATATATATATATATATATAACAAATTTAGCAAAAACAAAGCTTAAAAGACAGAAATAAAAATTACCACTCTAGCAGGACACTTTAAAATTTGTCAAACAAAAGTTGTGTTCAGTGAGTTAATGACTTAAATTTAGACAAACCTTACTGTCTAAACTGGCATATAGATTTACAAATGTCAAATGTGACTTATTTCTGTTCATTTAATTTTTTAAAGAAAAATAAAACTCATTCGGACCCCTTTTTGAAACGCTTTTTGTTTTTCACGAGAATTTGACTTGTGTTTACGCGTTTTTGTGGCTGTAATGTTAGCAGTTAGCAGTTAGCCATGGTTCGTCTGTCTTAATTGTTTTATGAACATGTCACCTTTCCAGGCAACGGCTCCTTGAAATCATGCTGCAGTTACCGTACTTCTCTAGTGGAAAACAAAAAACGATCTTTGCCTGCGCTGATTCCCAGTCCAGCTTAAAACTATCTTCACTCGTGCTTTTTTATTTTTTTTTTTTCTATTTTCCTGTCATCAGATGTTTTATTTAGTTGAAGATAAACATAGATGGACACTGCTCTGTTATTAATTGATAATTGATCTTTGATTTTTCTGATTATCCTTGAATGCCTCATTATACATAAACTGAAAAAATGCTCTTTATTTTTTATTTTTGAATTGAATTGACCCTCTCTGTAGGCGCTGTCGGAGGCTCGCCAGCAGCTGAGACGGAAGGAGCGCTCCCTGAGGATTCTGGGAAAGCACCTGTCTGGGGTTCAGAAGGAGCGGAAGCAGCTGGAGGAGAAAATGCAGAGAGCGGAGGAGCAGCTGAAGGATGCTGCCAGGTAGCTCTAAAGAGGCTAGACAGAGTAGGAATTAAAACCCATTTAAACTTTTCACTCAAGGAAATGCTCTTTCTTTTAATGTTATGTTTTTATCAGATTTGGTAAAAGAAATGTGTTTCATTACACAGCTTACATCAGATTAAAGTAAACAAACTGTCGGGGGCTTTAAGATGCGACTGCTACACCTGACTCAATGAAACGGCTTGTTAGCAGACCTTTGCTTAGTGCTTAGGGCATTGCGCTTGGGTCTTGGAGATTCCCACAGACTGACACTCTGGGTCCTTGAGCAAGACCCTTAGCCCCACACTGCTCCATGGACGCTCCCCAACGGCAGGCCACTGGTCGTTAAGGGGATGGTTTAAATGCAGAGAGTTCATTTCGTTGCTCTGTACTTGTGACAGAGTATTGGTGAAGATTCTCAGTCAACCATCTTTTATTTAACTGAAAAAGCCTCCTGGATGGGAGGTGAAACATCTACGAACTTGGAAATAGAGTCCAGTGGTTTGTTTGAACTTTTTTGGAATTGTGACAGTGTAAGGAGATTATTTGTTTTATATAATACAGAAATAAATAGTCGATTTGGACTTGGATAAGAAGCAACACTGGGCGTGTCCCAGTTCAGTTGCTGTGTCTTTCCAAGGCTGCATTTGTAGACCGATTGTGTCACAGCACTGAAGGCTGTCCCAGTCCAGATTCCACTGAAGAAGTGATTTCCAACCCGGCGTTATCGTCCCCCTAGTGGACCGCGACTAAACTGCAAGGGGTACATGAAAATATTTTATTTCTCAGGTAATAAAATAAAAAAAGAGCTGGGATCTGGTACTCACAATAAGACAAATTGTCTTCATTGAGAGCTGTGGAAATTCAGTCCCTACTGACAGCCAAAAGTGCGCAAGTGACATGTCACTCATCCTCTGTTTCAAGTCCATGTCACAGCTCAGCTCAGCCAGAGCCTCTTCCTCTCCTGCTGAAAGTCCATCTTTGAGTGTCGCAGGGAAGGAAAATGGGTTTCTCACCCACTGGTTTCCCATTGTCTCCTCTCCAAACTGCTCGCGCATCCCCTCCAAATGCGCACAGACAGCCTGCTGTAAAAACTCCACCTTCAGCCCCGCTCTGGCCAAAACATCCTCTAAGGTGGGAAACATTTCCACTGATCCCCGCTCCACACGCGCACCCCACATTTCCAACTTTGTCCTAAATCCATATTTATTTTTTCCCTCGCACCGCGCCTCCCCTAAGGTGCTCTGAAAACCGGCGCTCTAAAGGATCCGTCAAATAAGACGGGAAGAATGCGTTCCTCTTTAACACTGATCTGAAGGATGGATCAGGAGTTTCCTTCATGGCCCACCATTTCCCATGTGGGTCCAAGCTCTGGTAGCAGTGGTGGACGGTTGTAGTTAAATTATATGCTTTCTATGAACCAAAATAAACTTTTTTAAAGATTTTTTTTAGTAAAAAATGTTAGGTTTACTGGGATATTACTGGAATGTCTACTCTTTTCATTAAGATCCCTCTTAATTTCTAAACATTCTGCGTTTCTTAGCAACAGCTCTTCCTCTGCAGCTGTGACCAGGCCGTCTTTCCTCCCTCTTCTGAGGAAGGCGCCTGATTCCCAGCTGAGAGTGTTGAACCTACCGCCGGGTTAAACTGCTGGCTGGAAGTTAAACTCCTTCAGTTTATATCCTAATGCTCATGTTGGGCTTATTTCAGACTTTATTTGTTCTGTTGTGAATCTTTGCTGAAATTAAAGTTAATCTTGAGAACAACATTGTTTTATTTAACTCTGGAGGAATGAGGTTAATAATTACTGCAGCTGATCTTCACACGCCTGCAGCTGCAATACAACCACTGCACTTGCTCCAGGATTAAATAAACCAACAATTGGAGCAAATAGTATTGAATATATTTCTAATACAGAATCATTATTTTTCAGGTCTTTGAAAATGACCCAAACACTAAATGCTGCTGGAATGTTCTGTTTTTGACATCTCCTATTAAGTGTAAAAATAAAAACTCCTTATATTCTAAATAAATAAAAAATAATTCAGGCAGGTTTTACCTTGACCTTTACCATTCTGTGTTTATTGCTCCTATTATTTTTCCGTTTGTCCCCTCGTAACAAAGATGCCGTATTTATTTTGTGTTTTCCATTAAATAATATTCATAATATTTAAATTTAGGATAATTGACGTTAAAAGAAATAATATTAACACTTTATAGGCCTGTGGTTGCTAGGCAACCAAAGTTATGCTGAGATGAGAGCCTGTGTAGCTGCGATCAGAGTCAACTTTAATGTTTAGTTAAAAACAAGAGTTAATACATACTAGTATTGAAATTAAAAGTCCAATCATAAGTAAATAAATAACTTTCAGTAAATGTATGTTTATGTACGCTGGTTAGAAAGCTCATTAAGATGTAAGGAGGAAACTATGTTTTTTGTTCCGCATTTCATGTTTTTGCCCATGGAAAAGATTGATTGACACAATTTTTTTTTGCACCTGTTTTTCAAGAAGTTTCACCAGAAAGCTTTAAGACTGGTTTTCTGAGAAAATCTGTATAAGTTATCTTTATTCCTCTGGAGTTTATGCGGCCAATGAGGTACGACTTTGTTTTACTTGTATTTATTTGTGTTAAGCTTTATATTTGTTTTGAGCTAATTTGGGTTTTATGTTTCCCTTCTTAGTTCTGACGGCATTTTTGGGGGCTTTATACGGCCCCGTCCATAATAAATGGCTGTTAAAACCAAAAAAAACAACGTTGAGCCTTGATTATCTCAAGATGAGTAACAGCGTGTCTGCTGCTGAAGGCCACATTGTCCCAAAACAGAGCTGATCACTTCCAGCCCTCCTTATTTTCTAAATCTTTGACTGACCCAGGCTATGGGGGCTGGGTCCTTGGAAGGAAGCAGCCCCTGAATTGGTCCACATCCATAGTCCAATGTTAATTATCAAAGTGAAGGGCGACAGTGGAAAGTATCAACCACCTTTTAACAAGCACTTACTGTAGCTGAGACATATGGATTCATATTTCTTCTTTGGCCTGATAAAATGTTAGTGTGACATTTCTTTGTTTCTTAAAAGAAGTGATTAGTGAAAAGCTATTGTTCCATTCTCTATGCTGAGATGTAGGGAAAGGAAGGAGGTTTGAAAAGGAGTTTCCTCCCTAGTTTAGATAAGAGGGAAACATAGATAAACAGGTCCTTATTGCGTTTAAGATCCTCAAGTCCTGTCTCTGGTGTGAACGGAAAACAGTTGTCTGAAATGTTTAACTGAACGTATATTTATGTCTTTTGATGAAGTGTTTCTCTTAGGAAAATTCAATGTTCATGTGTGTGTATGCTGTGGATTCTTTTTAAATGTAGGGGTGTGTTTCTGAATGCTTCAGAATCACACTGGGGAGCTGTCTTCAGCTGTTTGTGTCGTTCTCCTCTGCAAGGCGGAATAAAAACTTTTTTCTTCTTTGCAAATCATCTCCCCGTGCTCATTTTTACTCCACAGACACAAATTTAAAACGGCACATTAAAAGACAAAACGCAGTGAAAGGAGGACCTTCAACTCTTTAAAACTTGTTTTTCAGATGTCAGGAATGGGTGATCCGGTGCATGAAGGCTGCAGAGATGAGCTGCAAGCAGGTGAGCAGAACCACCTGAACATATTTAGACCCTCTGTGGATTCCCCCCCCCCCCCCCCCCCCCCCCCAAAAAAAAAAAAAAAAAAACGGCCTTGGACCCAATGCCCTGTGCTCCACAGGTTAGAAAGAGTCTGGTCCAGTCTCAGCGCTCTGCTACCACTCACCGCCGCCCCCTGCTATTCAACCTGGAACCTCTGGATCTGAGCGGAGCAAAATGCCTCGATAGGTATCCTGAGGTTGCAGCCTGTCAGGTAGCAGAAAGACTGTGCCCAACTAGAGCGGTGCACCCCTTCTGCACCCCGCATCATCCTCCCCTCTCTGTCTGCAGAGCTTTCTATCCGTCGTATCCCAACTCCATCACGCCTGTAGCTCCAGAATCGACTGGCTCGAGCAGGAGGTGTCCGCCCATCGCAGTCATGTGACTGCTTTACGCAGCGAGCTGCAGGACGCCTGCCTTCAAGAGAGTCTGACCTATTTTCCAGTAAGACTTCATGTTTTTATCATTTCCTATCATCAAGCTTGATTCAGACATGGGCAATGTGGAGTCAACAAGCCATCTCCATGTCATGTATTAATCTACCCAGCCAATTAACCAGGTGAGTCCAATCTGCACAGGTTAATTCACGGTGAAGATTGGACTCACCTGCTTCAGTGGCTGGGTAGAACAAATACATGACATGGAGATGACTTGTTGACTCCACATTGCCCATGTCTGGCTTGATTGTAGCTCACCTGAACATCAATGGAGCAGAGTTTTAATGGCTGAGGTTTAAAACGATAATGCAGAATATTACCATCTATTACATGTGAAACAGACCCTCTACAACATGATGCCACCACTGTGCCTTTCTATAAAAGACTCACCTTGAATCTTGTTTCTTGGTCAGCACCTTCTCAACCCAAACTGCCAAAAATTGCTGGTTCCTTTCAGACTTATTTCTGCTCCTCACATCCTCTGAGGACAATTTAGGTCAGATGTTTGAAGCTGGAGGACTGCATTATTGTTCTGCACAGCAGGATTGCTTCTGAGATAAATTAAAATCGTAGGGAAATCATATTTAAATATCAAATCATTCTGGCCTAAACATGTATATAAATGTACTCTTTCTCCGACCATATTGTCCCTAAATTTAGAAAATTGTGAAGTGTTTTTTTTCTTTATCTTATGCAGGCCAGTTAGTTATATGTCAGCCTGAACTCCTCGATTCGGCCAATCATATATCAACGTTCATCTGTCAATCAATTTTTTTCGGTCATAGCTTCTTGAGTCATATGTCGTAGCCAATATACGCAACGGTTGAAATAAGAATCTTCACAGAGTTTTAGTGACCATTACAGGTGGAAAGTTGGAGAGCAAATTGTTGAGACTTATTAGGCTATGGTGTGCAGTCGAAGAGAGTGATTTATCTATTGGTGAGCGATTGCGTGGTGAGACTGTGTGATTGAGTTGTTGCATTTGTGAGAATCTGTTTTGTGGTGTTAGCAATAATGTTTGCGTTAGTTAGCATGAGCGCTCCAAGGAGACGTTTGCTGGGCTGAAGTTACGTTGAGTTTAGGGGTGTAAATCACATCCATCATGGCGATTCGATTCAGTATTGATTTCCTGACCCAACGATTTGATTATTTTCGATTCTCAAGAATACACCACGATTCGATTCGATTAGTCGGTTAAATTTTTTCTTATTATTATTTTTTTTTTTACACCTTACAGGCTAAACAAAGTTTCAAGTTTTAAATAAATCAATGAAAGCTGTAATATCATTATGCATTTTCTTTAGAAACAACAGCAAATAACAGAAGTAGAAAAGTTGAATCAAAAAATACTGCACAAAATCAGTCTAATGAGTTTAATGCAATACCTCGGCTCCAGAGAAACTGTCCAACATATTTTTTTAGAATGTAATAAATATACTCAGGAAAGAGAGATGTTGTGTAGAGAGTTAGACAGGAATAAAAATAAACTAGATATAAGGGAATTGTTTCAAAGGTAATCTGGGGATGTAGTTTTTGGGAGTATTTTTAAGTTTCTAAGAAGAACGGGTATTTTAGGGAGAATATGATAGTTTGTCTGGTCCATACTCCATTCTGGAAGGTGGCGGTAATGCACCTATAAGTTGTTTGCCAACCGCCATAAAAAAAAAGAAGAAGAAGAAGGCTCCAGAGTGTTGACGTCACCGCCCCCTTGAGAGACACTCTGCTGCACGTCTCCCAGATTGTAGCTGACCGCAAACAGTGCACCAGACAGGAGGCCGGCTTGTTTTGCTTTTATGACCGAAATTGCGGAAAACAACTCGTGAAGTTTGACCCGCTAGAAGAGCGAGGTGCGCGAGACCGCTGGGACCCTTTTTCCAGCTGGATCTCCGCTCTTTTTGGCCCTCATGTCCCTCCGTCGTCGGACTAAACTCGTCCCCACTTCCCCCGTATCTAGACCCACAGTGTGTAGCTCAGACCACGCTTCAATATTGAGCATAATTTAAAAATGTCTGTATGAAGCTCACTGCAACACACTGCTGTTAGAGTATAACCAGGAAGCGAGGTAGGAGGGCAAAATAGGTTTAGCGGCACCGCAGCACGGGAGGGAGAATAACGTCCAGGAGCAAATGGATAAAAATAGACCGGAGGAAAAAAAAAAACATGAATCGATTATCTTGCGGACGTGTCGATGCATCGGATTGTCGGCTTTTGGATCGATGCATCGATACAAAACGATTATTATTTACACCCCTAGTTGAGTTGCGTCCCAGTGTTCACGGGGATGGACGTCTGTGTCTTCAGCAGGCGTAGAGCTAACAGAACTGGCAGCGTTGCGAGGCAAGGGCTCAAACATGTACGACTGGAAGCCTTCTACACCAAACCAAGCTTCTGCCGCCCTGGCGTCCTCTTCCACAACATCTTCGTCCCCGCTTTCCTCCTCTAGATAAACAATGTATGACAGAGGAGACTCATCCACGACCTCCGACACTAAACTCTCCTCCTCTTGCATGTTTCCTCTGTCCATAGCGTTCCTTGACAGCGTCGTTTCTAAGTCACCAATTTAGTGCTACTTGGTCCCAATGGAATTTCCCATTGGGAACCTACTAGCACTAAGTTGCTAACTGGTTAGCAAGATGCTTTCAACAAACCGGCCACAACCAAAGCTGCTTGCGAACCTTCCGCCACAACAATCCCGCCCCCTTGATAATCGACCAATCACATTCACTTTATTTACTCATGTAAAGTCAGGCACCATTCAGGAGAATTCAGAAATGCAACGTTTGGAACGGCCGCTTCCCTACGACTTTAAGGAGTGATTTACATGGAACATGAAATCTTTCTTTAATCAGTTATGTTGATGCTAAATGTAACTACGGCAGAAACTATCAAATAACTGTGGATAAAGGGCTGCTTTTTCTGGGCCATTTAAGCCAATGTATTTTTTTTTTAATTTCTCCCTTTGTCTCTCTACTTAAAGTGCAACTATGATGAAATTACACAAGGGCTGCAACTAATGATTATTTTGCTAATCGATTAATCTGTCGATTGTTTTTTCGATGAATAATCAGATAACCAAATGTTCCTTAAGGAAGAGTTTTTTTGTACTGAATTAAAGCGGTTGAAACCAAAAATGTTCTACTTGAGGAGTTCTGGATCGTTATTGTCAGACGAAATGTTATATTTATCTTGAATGCAAAATGTTTATATTAGTGCTGTCAAACTATTAAAAATTTTAATCGCGATTAATCACCTAATATCGACAGTTAACTCGAGATTAATGGCATATTTTATCTTTTTATTTTATTTGAGCATTTTAAAAATACAATTGTGCAACAATGTATAAACATTCTTATACTAAAAGTTTTTTTTTATTATCATTATTTTTCAAGCACTTTTAAGAAACTAGAATAAAAATATCCTGGTTTAAATTCAGGCCAATAATTATTCAAATTGTAAAAAAAAAAAATAGGGGTTATGCTTACATCAAATCTGTACAAAACTACAGAACAGTAAACAGTATTTTTTTTTCTCAAACATAGGACAAAAATAAAGATGTACTGTTAAAATAAAGTGCACATTCCGCACATACAGACCTAGTTCAAATAAAATGAAGTTACCCACAAAATAATAAATTAATCAAACGAAATTACAATAACTGGGCTTTGCAATCATCTCAACAACATAACATTTTACATGTAGAACATTTTCAAAATGCTTTAATATTCCTTTGGTCTGAACAGGAATTGTAGCAGCGGTGCAGTCCACATGACTTAGTTAATTTCTTTGTCTTATTGGCACTAAGCCAGTGAGACGCTGTAAAACCCTTTTATAGTAATATCCACCTGTATATTATATGCGGTACATATCCAGCTGTAAATTTAGTTCATGACACCAGTGATCTATATATTATATTAATTATTTATAATGGTATTGATCTCTATACTCACTCAGTAGAACCCATTCCTGAAGCTACGGAAAGCGCCGGGGGTAAAACAAACAGTACAGAGAGCGCTGCGGAAAAATAAAGAACAAAAGCGAACGTTGCGTTTGTTTTAATGCGCGATTAACGTGCGTTAAAAAAATTGTCGCCATTATAGTCTAAACCAGTTACGCGTTTGTTAGGGTTATTGAATGACGATTGTAAAGTTAATGTGTGTACATATGAAACATAGAAGTCCTGCTTCCAGCCAGTAAATCATTACGGGGTCTTCTGTTTTAAGACCCACCCTATTATGTTGTAATCTGTTAATAAAAGGCTCTACTGTGAAGGGAGCAGTGAGAAAAGGTCCTGGTTGTGAGCTAGCAGTTCTTCTCCCTTCTGCAGAGGCTGTTGTTGCAAATCCCTGTCTGTGTCTGATCATTTCGTCCTCTATAAACTCACATTTCTTTGAACCCAACAGCGTTAATAATGCTTTAAAACTGACAGCCCTAGTTTATATATATTTCTTTTTAATTTTGGTACAGTTACGGCTCTAATTAGGATTTTTTAGAGTCCCTAAACTCCAGTTAATGATTAATCAATTACTAAAATAGTTGAGGATTATTTCAATCATCCATTAATGTCCGTATGATCTATCAGAACTCAAGTGGAAAAGCATCAGTTCTTCTTTAAGGAACCTTTTGCTATGTGATTATTAAATAGAATCCACAGATTAATCAATTTGCAAAATAATTGTTAGTTGCAGCCCTATTGATTACATATTTACTGGTAGTAGAGGGTCAAAGCTTTATAGGCTGGTTCTTGGAATTTTGGAATTTTATTCTGGAAAGATCCTATAATTTGAAAAAGAAGCAGAGTATGGGAGCCTTAGTCATTTCTTTTACTCTTCCTAATTGGTAACTAAAGCTGGCATATCATGTGATGCCCAGAAAAACTGCAAACCAACTTCTGCATTCAAATTCTCTCTATCCTGATAAAACCAGGTCAGTTTTTCTGGTTTTCTCATCTTAAACTTGAGACATTTTTACTCTTTATGTTAACTTTTTTTAAACTATGCATTCAGAAATCTACAGTAAGTATTTATGAAAAATATTTTTTTCATCATTTGAAAATGACTAAAAAAATATCTTAATGTTTGTCTTTGAGGTGGAAGAGCTTCCTGAACAACCTGATGATGATGATGATGATGATTGGGAAATACGCGACCTTCCTCCCATCTCTGGTCTCTCTGCGGAGCCGCTGTGAAGAAACGCCAAAGAACGTTTGACCCATCTGTTATCACATGTAGCACTTTGAAATAGAACGACTTTCTTGTTCTTAATTTGGTTTCAGTAATGAAATAAGAACAAAGAACTCTTGAAGTCTGAACTGGATATGAAGTTGACCATCAGGAAGTGTTTCATTCCAACTGGATGCATCGTCTTTAGGGGACTTTGAGTATCGATTTTCCCAGCTGGCGGCATGAAGACTCCTGATGGCCAGATGGTCATTGTAGACAAACGGGTCGATTCAAAGTTTCAGAATCAGAACTTTGTGTAAAACAAACGGGACATTAATTTATTTAGATAATGTCAGGTGACTAAATATTCATGCATCCCTTCTATTTTAACCAGATTTCCTGTCAGTCTCTTTTATATAAAGGCCACGGTTGCAAAAAAAAAAAGATTCAAAACAAGATCAGTGAATGAAAAGGTAAGAATAGAAAAATAAGGCAAATTCTTGGAGAGAAATGCAAAAATTAAAACTTAATTCAATTCAGTTTATTTCTATAGCGCCAATTCACAACACAAGTCATCTCAAGGTGCTTTCCATTTCACCAGATCATACAGTCAAATTGATTAATTTTCTATCTAAGGAAAACCAGCTGATTGCATCGACTCATTGACTCAAATACAATCCCTCACACTAAGCATGCTTGTAGCGACAGTGAAGAGAAAAAACTCCCTTTTAACAGGAAGAAACCTCCAGCAGAACCAGGCTCAGTGTGAGCGGCCATCTGCTGAGGCCGACTGGGGTTCAAGGAGACAGAAGCAGAGATACAAAAAGCAGCTGTAAAAGGCGAACCCGTCCAGGAAACACACAGCCAGGCAGACGAGCTCATAGCCAGCTCCCATGCCAGAGGATGAAGAGAGCACATCCAGTTAGTCACAGACAGAGAAACAGGACTACACTGGAAAACAGGCCGATCTCCAACATCTATAAACAAAGGTGTTGATGGCAGCAGCACAGCTGATGTTTCTCTCCAGAATGGAGTCACAGCCAAACAGGAACAGACCAGATGAAGCTACTATGAGAAAAAGCAGAGAGCAGAAAGTTAGAGATTGAACTAACAGATCCTGCAGAGTGGGAGAATAGAGAAATGAAGCAGAATGATGAAATGGGGGTCCCTATGTCCTCCAGAAGTCTAAGCCTATAGCAGCAGAACTATAGAGATAGCTCAGGATTGAAACTTATAATTGATGTAAGTTGAGAAAATCTATTCTAAGCAGATACTAAAGGATTATATCTAAGCCTAGAGCTTCCCTTGCACAAACAGAAAGTTTTACACTTACAGTATCAGACAGCTCTGCTTTTAGCGCCCCCTAGAGATTAAAGACACAGTCAATAAAAATAGCAGATTTTACTGGTGAGAGTTGCTTTGTCCCTCTGTAACCTCCATAATATAACACACCCACAGAATGCGTAAGATCAGCCTGAGGATACTCTCCATTTTGTCATTTGAGTGAAATGAAAGACTCAAAATCACATTGACTCCTGTTGAAAAAGTGTTTCTCACCTGATATTTGTAATTTCGGTCAATAAGTGTTTAATTCCTAGTATCTGTTCTTGTATTTAAAATGTTCCTGATTGACTGAATTTCTTCTTATTTTGGCTTCAATACTTAAAATTAAACACTGATCCAGGTTGATCAGGGGCGGATTTAGGAAATGTGGGGCCCTAAGCAAAGACGGGCAGGGAGCCCTCTGAATAGAGAAGACATCACATAATACAGATCCCATTCTACAGATTATACAGAAATGTTAATCGAATAGACATAAATTTGTTCTACCTTTTGTCCCTCCCTTTTTGTCCCTTTTCCAGGGTTCCATTTCAAAAAGCCTTTTTTTTTTTTTTTTTTACAAGGAAAAAAGTGAGCTCTGATGGTTACATTAAAACATTTTATTACCGATAGGTGGCAAAAGTTTGTAAAACCTACATATACTGAAGATACTGTCGGGGAAAATCCCGATGGACTCTCTGCACAGATGATGTTTAGAGGTGAACTTTCTCACTCATGTTAATGCAGTTGTTGCCCCCAGCTCATTAAAGTTAATAAAGCCAAGCAGCTCTCTGCACCAACCACCGATCTCTATTTATTCACTGGATTGCTGATTGCCTGTTGGTAGTACTTGCATGTTTTCCAAAAACAAGGCTTGTTGGTCTGCTGTATAAAACCTTGAACTCAACGCCATTTCTGGCATTTTGAACTGAAAAAGCTTCTTGGATGAGAAGCGAAACGTCTTCAAACTTGGAAAAAAGTCCAGTGGATTGTTTTTAATTTTCTTTATTTGGAATGACTATGAGCTGGATGACTGAGAATCTTCACCAACCAATCAGAGTTGTTTCTCAGATTGTATCCAGATCCCTCATTGGTCATTTTGTTAAGCAAGAGTGGCAGTCTGACCAATGAGAGAGTTTAACTGTTTTCCAACGTGCTCAGTGACCAGAAGGGGGAGGTCAACGGAGAGGGTGAAGCAAAAGAAAATACTATTTTAAAAAGGAAATGAAAATGCATGATTTCAGATTTAATGATTTTAATGTTAAAATTTAATTTTTTCAGTCACTTTCTTGGTCCTTCATACTCAACAGCTGGAGAGTCGAGCAATCAGCGTGAAAGCTTCTGGACCAATGTTTGATCCAGCATCCAAGTTTTAGTGTTTAAGCATTTTTTTATCAGATGGATGAAATGAAAAAAAAAATAAAAATAAACAGTCTTCCACTCCCAGGTGTTCCTTGTGGATGTGTAAACCTAAAAAAAAAATGCTAAAGGATAAGGTCCAAAGTTTATTTAATCAACAACAAATCAACTTAGCAGAAAAAGTGTTTTTTGGTTTTTTTTCTAAACCGAACAAGAACATTTTAAATCTGCTGAATCAGCTTATTGTGGTTGAACAAAGCCCCAGGCAGTAGTGTCGCTCTCTCGTCAGTGGTTGGTCTATTATCGACAGAAAAGTCCCATCGCTCATGTTGCTCCAGGCCATGATGGCTGTTGAGATGAAGCGACTTGAGCTGCTGAGGGACACACTCTCAGCGGTGCTGACTCGACTAAACGCAAGTTTCCTTCTGAGCTTGATGCGTTTCCTCCTTCCGACACCTCTTAGCTCACAATTTCTTCTGTACCTAGAGTCTTGTTCACATGAGCCTTTCATAAATGAGAAAACTGAAAATCCTCACGGAGGTGGGTAAGGAGTTGTGGGTTTGACAAAGAAGTTAACCACGTCCATGGGAGGATGCAACCACCTGGTAAAGTGCACATCCACCTCGGAAAAAAATGGCTTCATGTTTTTTACTGGATGTTCTTTTGATGGTTATAGAATCTCTGGAGTCTTTAAGTTTCCTTTAACTGACGTGATCACCCATGCGAAAATGCAAGCCGATGAAAACTAAGCTCTGAGAAACTTAGGATTGTTTTAACTTTTACACAGTGAAGCACATTACCTGAGGCCTTAAATGAGTCATTTCCCCATATCAGCAAACATTAAGGCAAAGACAACGGGGACATGTATTTTCCACATCAAGTGAGTCAAAGCAGCAACAGACTGATCAACATTAAAGCCCAGGCTTTCCATAGAAGGCATTATAATGGACACACATTATAAAAAATGAATTACTAATGAAGAAATGGAAGCTTTATTTCAAGCTAAAAACACAGTCCTGGATAAGCGACAGACACTGGGGGACAGTGATTAACCTACATCTTATGAATGCTGGTGTACCATAAAGAATAAATTATGAACAGTTTAGTTTGTGCCTTCAACTCGTTGCCCATAGGAAGACGTTACCTGGATGTAACCTAACGGAATATCTTCATAACAGCTCCAAATGACACAAAACTCATATGGGAGAGTAGAACATGATGTAATAACGTAAAATCAAGGGGCCAATGTAAAAAAAAAAAAAAGTTGAGTTTACCCGTTTAGATAGTTGTCACAAACATTCATTCAAATAATGATACTAGGGGGCGAATCTTTCTTTATGGAAAATACAAAAAAATTAAAACCTATTGAAAATGTAAGGAGCAACATATTGTCACCTTTTATCTGACATTTTTCTGCTTAGAATTTTGTTCAGTTGTGAATAGGACAAGAAGAAAAACAGAATAGATGACTCCATTAATTAAAGTTCACAAAATTAAGCAGCTGTAAAGTACTCAGGGTCCAACGACCCCTCAGAAGGGAGATTTACCCAGTAAATGAGGAAGGAAATGCCACCCAGGCTTTCACAGCCCCAGGCCTTTCAGAGGCAATGGCGAAAGGGCTTATGAGGATAAAAAAAAAAAAAAAAAGCATTTGAGTCCCAGTTCAAGACAACCTCTGTATTATTTACCTAAACTCTGGCTCTCCAAATATTTGTATACATTCATTTCGTCTTTCTGTCTTTACCAACTTTCATTGAAAAGTACTCTGGAGTCATCCTGACTTAAATAGGAGCTACAGTATATATGTTCTAGCCGTTTACAAAGTACAGCCCATTCATTACCAACTTTAGACTTTGATAACCACGGAAACGCTAACTCCACTCTCCTGTCGTTTGCTTTCAATACGGTGGCTATCTTAGCTTAAAGTCTCCCCCTGGACGCCTGCCTGGGCTCCTCTTCTCTTTCCACAGAGGAGACTTGTTCGTTCAGCAGGAGGCATTCATTCCCATCATACTTTGTCGCGCTACTCAACAGCAGATTAGGTTTAATTCCCAATGAAGCAGCAGCTTCATCCAGTGAAGACTAGATTATAAATTACAGCTGCATGTGACGTGCCTTAAGGGCCATGAATCCCCCCCAGAGGATAAAAAAAACAGATAATCCTGAAACAAAGGGAAGCTCCCGCCCTCAGTGACACTAAAAGACGGCTTACGTTAACAGCCCAGCTCTGCCTTTTGCTTCCACAGCTGGAGTGATTTAAATCAACATAAAGTTTACTTGTGGGTTCTAAAAACTCCAGACTCTAAAGCACCAAACTGACATTAAGAAGAAGCAGTAGTGACACCCCTCCACCTCCTAAATGTCCTCACGTTGGCTGCTTCTGAGTTGAGAATCACTTTGATCCTTGTTCTGTACTCTACTTATTGAACGTGGGTAAAATGGGTTGCAGACTGAAGCAGAAGCCCAGAGGCTACTGCCTAATGGAGATTAACTGTTTTTTTCTTATTACTGGGGAAAGTTTTCCAGGACTGTCTAAATAACACAGTGGACTACTTAGGATGTTATGAATCGACCTGCTAATTTTCAGCAAAAAATACATCTTTACTGTCAGAATCTGGGTTTATCATGGTGGCTCCATGCCTTGGCTCATATCTTCTCACATTAAGAGGCTACTTTTGGGCTTGCATGCACTAAATGAAAGGCTGCTGCATAAGAAACTAAGAAAATGAGAAGTTCGTTCTGGCTCACACAGCTTTCAGAACAAA